TCCGCCTCCTGGGTTCAGTCAATTCTCCTGCCTCAGCCTCCTGAGTAGCTGGGATTACAGGCACGCACCACCATGCCCAGCTAATTTTTTGTATTTTTAGTAGAGACGGGGTTTCACCATGTTGACCAGGATGGTCTTGATCTCTTGACCTCGTGATCCACCCGCCTTGGCCTCCCAAAGTGCTGGGATTACAGGCTTGAGCCACCGCGCCTGGCCTCTTTTCTTTTCTTGAGACAGTTTCCTGTTCTATCACCCAGGCTGGAGTGCAGTAGCATGATCATGGCTCATTGCAGCCTTGACCTCCTGGGCTCAAGTGATCCTCCCGCCTCAGCCTCAGAGAGTAGCTGGGACTACAGGCAGGCACCACCGTGGCCTAACTAATTTCTTGCATTTTTTTTTTTTTTTTTTGAGACGGAGTTTCACTCTTGTTACCCAGGCTGGAGTGCAATGGCGCGATCTCGGCTCACCGCAACCTCCCTCTCCTGGGTTCAGGCAATTCTCCTGCCTCAGCCTCCTGAGTAGCTGGGATTACAGGCACAAGCCACCATGCCCAGCTAATTTTTTGTATTTTTAGTAGAGACGGGGTTTCACCATGTTGACCAGGATGGTCTCGATCTCTCGACCTCGTGATCCACCCGCCTCGGCCTCCCAAAGTGCTGGGATTACAAGCTTGAGCCACCGCGCCCGGCCAATTTCTTGCATTTTTTTGTAGAGTCAGAGATCTCAACATGTTGCCCAGGCTGGTCTTCAACTTCTGGGCTCATGAGATCCTCCCATGTTGGCCTCCCAAATTGTTGGTATTATAGGTGTGAGCCACCACACTCAGCCTTTTTTTCTTTTCTTTTCTTTTTGAGACAGCGTCTCACTCTGTCACCAAGACTGGAGTGAAGCGGTGCAATCTAGGGTCACTGCGGCCTCCACCTCCTGGGTTCAAAAAATTGTCCTGCCTCAGCCTCCTGAGTAGCTGGGACGACAAGCACATACCACCGTGCCTGGCTAATTTTTGTATTTTTAGTAGAAAAGGGTTTTTGCCATGTTGGCCAGGATGGTCTCTATCTCCTGACCTCATCATCCGCCTGCCTCAGCCTCCCAAAGTGCTAGGATTAGAGGTGTGAGCTACTGCACCCAGCCCTTTTTTTCTTTTCGTTAGCTTTTTTTTTTTTTTTTTAAGACAGAGTTTCTGTGGCCCAGGCTGGAGTGCAGTGGCCCAGTCTTAGCTCACTGCAACCTTTGTCTCCCAGGTTCTAGTGATTCTCATGCCTCAGCCTCTGAGTAGCTGTAATTACAGGTGTACACCACCATGACTGGCTAATTTTTTGTAATTTTTTTTTTTTTTTTTTTTTGTGATGGAGTCTTGCTCTGTCACCCAGGCTGGAGTATAGTGGTGTGATCTCTGCTCACTGCAACCTCTGCCTTCCAGGTTCAAACAATTCTCCTGCCTCAGCCTCCTGAGTGTCTGTGATTACAGGTGAGCACCACTAAACCTGGCTAATTTTTGTGTTTTTAGTAGAGACAGGGTTTCACCATGTTGGCCAGGCTAGTCTCGAACTCCTGACCTCAAGTTATCCGTGCACTTCGGCCTCCCAAAATGCTAGGATTACAGGTGTGAGCCACCGTGCTTGGCCTCTAATTTTTATATTTTTAGTAGAGATGGAGTTTTGCCACATTGGCCAGGCTGGTTTTAATCTCCTGAACTCAAATGATTCGCCTCTCTTGATCTCCCAGTGTTGGAATTACAGGCGTGAGCCACCGAGCCCAGTCACTTTTTTTCTTGATAGCATTAATTTTACTTCCATAGAAGATTAAAAAGTTGTCGTGGAGAATTTCATCTTTTCTTTCTTTTTTTTTTTTAGATGGAGTTTTGCTCTTGTTGCCCAGACTGGAGTGCAATGGTGCAATCTTGGCTCACAGCAATCTCTGCCTCCTGGGTTCAAGTGATTCTTCTGCCTCAACCTCCCAAGTAGGTAGGATTACAAGCATGTGCCACCACATCCAGCTAATTTTTGTATTTTTAGTAGAGATGAGGTTTCTCCATGTTGGTCTGGCTGGTCTTGAACTCCCAACCTCAGGTGATCCACCTGCCTCAGCCTCCTAAAGTGCTGGAATTGCAGGCGTGAGCCACTGTGCCCAGCCGGTCTTTTTATTTTACAAACTATATTTATGGAGTCAAATATTTAGGGAGGCTGGTGTGGTGGCTCACACCTATAATCCCAACACTTTGGGAGAGCAAGGGTGATGGATTGCTTGAGCCAAGGATTCTGAGGCCAGACTGGGCAACATAGTGAGCCCTCTGTCTCTATAAAAAAATAAAAATAAAAATTAGCTGGGCTGGTGGCCTATGCTTGTAGTCTCAGCTACTCAGGAGGCTTAGGTGGGAGGATCACCTGAGCCCATGAGGTTGAGGCTACAGTGAGTTATGATTGTGCCACTGCACTACAACCTGAGCGATAGAGTGAGACCCTGTCTCTCTCTCTCTCTCTCTCTCTCTCTCTCTCTCTCTCACACACACACACACACACACACACACACACGCACATACATGCACACACGGAATTTGGTAAAACAACAAAAAAAAATGTTTTGGGTAGCCATGTGAGCAAAAGGAACAAGAACATTTACACTGTGATTTTTGAGAATGGAGTCTACCTTCACTCAGAATGTTTTCTGGTCCGGAATTTACCAACTGAATTTCTCATTTTTGGACAAGCCACTTCACTTCTCCAAGTCGAAGTTTTCTCACCTATACAATCTATTTCAGAGGACTCTTGAGAAGATGTGATGACTTGTCCGGGCGCGGTGGCTCACATCTGCAATCCCAGCACTTTGGGAGTCCGAGGCGGGTGGATCACGAGGGTCAAGAGATCGAGACCATCCTGGTCAACATGGTGAAACCCTGTCTCTACTAAAAATACAAAAATTAGCTGGGCATGGTGGCGCACGCCTGCAGTCTCAGCTACTCAGGAGGCTGAGGCAGGAGAATTGCCTGAACCCAGGAGGTGGAGGTTGCGGTGAGCGTAGATCTCGCCATTGCACTCCAGCCTGGGTAACAAGAGCGAAACTCCGTCTCAAAAAAAAAAAAAAAAAAAAGATGTAATGACAGGGTACATGAAAGTTTTTAAAAGTAATAAATGAGGGGCCAGTGTAAGTTAGTGTTATTTTATTGTTAATTAATACTACACTTTCTTGTTCTTATTACAGTGTTTTGTGTGAGGATGAAAGGCTAAGTTATCCCGTAATAGCCATGGGAGGATCTCGAGATGGGATGAGCTTTTTTTTTTTTTTTTTTAGTACAGACGGGGTTTCACTATGTTGACCAGGATGGTCTCGATCTCTTGACCTCGTGATCCACCCGCCTCGGCCTCCCAAAGTGCTGGGATTACAGGCTTGAGCCACCGCGCCCAGCCTGGGATGAGCTTTTAGGTTCTGAGATTTGAAGCAAAGATTGGTGACGAGACAGCGCCATAGGATGGAAGAGCTTTAGTCTCAGAAAGACATGAATTTGAATCTGGACTGTGGCACTTGTTGGACTAAATGATTCAACTTCCTTGAGGCTGGGATTCGTTTTCCATAAAACAGGGATGAAGATCTCATGTTTTGCAGGATACTTGTGAAAATTTAGAGATAATATGTGTAAAATGCTTGGCTCATAGCACACAACCTATATGTGGGAAGCACTGTTTAAACACTCAGGAACTTGGGTTGAAGTGTCCCCACATTTGCCCTTTGCTCTGTAAATCATCTCAGTCGGGCGCGGTGGCTCGAATCTGTAATCCCAGCACTTTGGGAGAACCAGGCGGGCGGATTGCTTCAGTCTAGGAGTTCAAGACCAACGATCGCTTGAATCTAGGGGTTCGAGACTAGCCTGGGCAACATGGCGAAACTCATCTCTACGAAAAATAGAAACAAGCCCAGCATCGTGGCTCGAGCCCGTAGTTTCAACTACTCGGCTGGCTGATGTGAGAGGATTGCTTGAGTTGAAGGCTGCAGCGAGCCGAGATCACGGCACTGCAATCCAGTCTGGGCGACAGAGCGACCTTGTCTCAACAAACAAACAAAAAAAAAACGGCCGGGTGCGGGGGTTCACGCCTGTAATTCCTGTAACTTTGGGAGGCTGAGGCGGGAGGATCACTTGAATTCGCGACGAGCGTGGCCAACATGGTGAAAACCCGTCTCGGCCGGGCGCGGTGGCTCAAGCCTGTAATCCCAGCACTTTGGGAGGCCGAGGCGGGTGGATCACGAGGTCAAGAGATCGAGACCATCCTGGTCAACATGGTGAAACCCCGTCTCTACTAAAAAATTAGCTGGGCATGGTGGCACGTGCCTGTAATCCCAGCTACTCAGGAGGCTGAAGCAGGAGAATTGCCCGAACCCAGGAGGCGGAAGTTGCGGTGAGCCGAGATCGCGCCATTGCGCTCCAGCCTGGGTAACAAGAGCGAAACTCCGTCTCAAAAAAAAAAAAAACAAAAACAACAACAACAACAACAAAAAAAAACCGTCTCTACTAAAAATACGAAAATTAGCCGGCCTTTGTGGCGGGCTCCAGTAATTTCAGCTACTCGGGACTGAAGCAAGAGAATCGCTTGAACCTGGGAGGCGGAGGTTGCAGTGAGCTGCGATCGCGCCATTGCACTCCAGCCTGGGCGTCAGAGCGAGATTCTGTCACAAAAAAAAAAAAAAAAAAGTCATCCTGGTAGTTAAAAGACTTGTTAAAAAGGATGCTAAAATTAGTTTGTCACGGAGCCTGGGTGTGTTTGTTTAACGAGTTATCGATAAAGCTTTGATTTAAAAAAAAAAAAAAAAACCACTCGGTTTGTTCCGTTTCAATAAAGCTTTGCTCAAATGGGGAAGCGAGAGCTAATCGCGAGAGTCAAGAGAGTCGCGTTTCTTGTTCGGGACGTGATCTCGCGTTGTTTGATGAAGCAGCGGAGTGAGGTGAAAGCGTAGCACGAAACATCGCGAGAGGCTACTGGACTCTCGCGACGATTTCTGGGATTGCCCCTCCCCCCCTCCAAGTACCGTTTCGGTTTAATCTAGTGTGTGACTGAGTCTGTGAGGGAGCGAGTGTGTGTGTGTGTATGTGTGTGTGTGTGTGGTGTGGGGGTGAGACGGAGGCAAGAAAGGGGGCTCCTTCAGGAGCGAGGGACAAAGGGGGCGTAAGGCACCTAGGCCGCGGGACCCCGGCGACAGGAAGCCGCCCTGAGCCGGGCTACCGGGTAGGGGAAGGGCCCGCGTAGTCCTCGCAGGGCCCCAGAGCCGGAGTCGGCCTCACAGCCCCGGGCCATCGGCTTCTCACTTCCTCGACCTCCCCGGCTCCCGGGCCCGAGGAGTGGCTCGGCGGGGCGAAAAAAGGACACAGACTTGAGCCGGCTCCCGGTTGTCTCGCAACTCCACTGCTGAGGAACTCTCATTTCTTCCCTCGCTCCTTCACCCCCCCACCTCATGTAGGAGGGTGCTGAGGCGTCGGGAGGGAGGAGGAGCCTGGGCCACCGTCCCTGCCCTCCCCACCCGCTTCCCGGGGCGCTTCGGTGGGCGTGGAGTCGGGGTTGGGGGGGTGGGTGGGGGTTGCTTTTTGGAGTGCTGGGGAACTTTTTCCCTTCTTCAGTTCAGGGGAAGGGGAATGCCCAATTCAGAGAGACATGGGGGCAAGAAGGACGGGAGTGGAGGAGCTTCTGGAACTTTGCAGCCGTCATCGGGAGGCGGCAGCTCTAACAGCAGAGAGCGTCACCGCTTGGTGTCGAAGCACAAGCGGCATAAGTCCAAGCACTCCAAAGACATGGGGTTGGTGACCCCCGAAGCAGCATCCTTGGGTACAGTTATCAAACCTTTGGTGGAGTATGATGATATCAGCTCTGATTCCGACACCTTCTCCGATGACATGGCCTTCAAACTAGACAGAAGGGAGAACGACGAACGTCGTGGATCAGATCGGAGCGACCGCCTGCACAAACATCGTCACCACCAGCACCGGCGTTCCCGGGACTTACTGAAAGCTAAACAGACCGAAAAAGAAAAAAGCCAGGAAGTCTCCAGCAAGTCGGGATCGATGAAGGACCGGATATCAGGAAGTTCAAAGCGTTCGAATGAGGAAACTGATGACTATGGGAAGGCACAGGTAGCCAAAAGCAGCAGCAAGGAATCCAGGTCATCCAAGCTCCACAAGGAGAAGACCAGGAAAGAACGGGAGCTGAAGTCTGGGCACAAAGACCGGAGTAAAAGTCATCGAAAAAGGGAAACACCCAAAAGTTACAAAACAGTGGACAGCCCAAAACGGAGATCCAGGAGCCCCCACAGGAAGTGGTCTGATAGCTCCAAACAAGATGATAGCCCCTCGGGAGCTTCTTATGGCCAAGATTATGACCTTAGTCCCCCAAGATCTCATACCTCGAGCAATTATGACTCCTACAAGAAAAGTCCTGGAAGTACCTCGAGAAGGCAGTCGATCAGCCCCCCTTACAAGGAGCCTTCGGCCTACCAGTCCAGCACCCGGTCACCGAGCCCCTACAGTAGGCGGCAGAGATCTGTGAGTCCCTATAGCAGGAGACGGTCGTCCAGCTACGAAAGAAGTGGCTCTTATAGCGGGCGATCGCCCAGTCCCTATGGTCGAAGGCGGTCCAGCAGCCCTTTCCTGAGCAAGCGATCTCTGAGTCGAAGTCCACTCCCCAGGTGAGCTATTTGTCTAACTGTCCTTCCTCATTTAGGGTGGGTTGTGAGGAATTGGCATTCAGCGTGCTAACGTTGTGTGGAAGCCCCCAGTGTTCATCATTGGACTAGAACACTTTGCTGTCAGCTAGTCATTCCAGTGTGTGAGTCTGCCTCCCCTTAACCCAGAATTTGAAAAGTGAAGAGTGCATAGGCCTCAAACCACTAAAGGTAGGTAGTTCCAGTGGTGGGGTCTTCAGTTGTAAGCTTCTGAGTGAGAAACGTCAAAGGCTTCTGCTTAGTGAGTGCATGGAGTTGATAATAGTTCTCAAAGCATATCTAGCTATTTCTGTTGCTTAGTTTTAAATTTTTTAAAAATTACATTGGTATTAGTGCTTTAGACTCTGTGGGACCTGGTTGAAGACTTAAGAAATTACAAAGTTTCATTTGGGAACTTAATTGCCTAGGTTATCCTATTTGTCTTGTCCACTGAGTCCCCAAACCTGTACATTTATTCATTTCCTACTTGGCACTGTTTTAATAATTACAAAATATTCCTGTCTTTTAATTGATGTTTTAGTGGAAATTCAGCTGATTAGTCTATTATTCTTTTGATGGCATAACCTGTCAGAAATTGGTTCCAAGGACAATTTGGTTTTCTTTACAGCATCATCACTGACCTACCTTGTGACTGCTGACAATTTTCAACCTTTCTCTAAAACACATGGTCATAATGCCTTCTTTCTATTTTTTCGAGAAGGCATGCTAGTTTGAAATTTTGTGAATTATCTGGAAAACTGTTCTTGTTCCTAGGTAAAGAGATGTACCTCCTTTGTGGCCTCACCTCTGTTCACAAAAGCAGAACGTGGGCTTTAGTTAGACCTTTGGAATCCTAATGTTGCTTTGTGGGCTTTAGCGAATGAATTAATTTCTCCATGCCTAAGTTGCTTCAAGTGTAAAATGGGAATAATAAAGACCTATTTTTAAGGGTTGTTATTAAATTAGTCAATTTGAAGTGCGTAGCACAGTGCCTTGTACATAATACCACTCAGTAAACTATGAGTAAGGATAATGTTGAACATTAATAGAGAAATTGTGATAACTTGAAAAAAATCCATGTATGGCTTTTTTTTTTTTTTGAGACGGCGTCTTGCTCTATTGCCAGGATGGAGCCCAGTGGTGCAGTCTCAGCTCACTGCAACCTCCGCCTCTCGGGTTCAAATGATTCTTCTGCCTCAGCCTCCCAAGTAGCTGGGACTACAGGCATGTGACAAACACCCGGCTAATTTTTGTATACATATATTTTTCTTTATAGACAGGGTTTCACCATGATGGTCAGGCTGGTCTTGAACTCCCAACCTCAGGTAATCCACCTGCCTTGGCCTCCAAAGTGCTTGGATTACGGGCATGAGCCACCACGCCCGGCTAATTTTCGTATTTTTAGTAGAGACAGGGTTTCACCATGTTGACCAGGATGGTCTTGATCTCTTGATCTCGTGATCTACCTGCCTCGGCTTCCCAAAGTGCTGGGATTACAGGCGTGAACCACCGTGCCCGGCTGACTTTTTTTTTTTTAAAGACAGGATCTTGCTATGTTGCCTAGGCTGGAGTGCAGTGGCATCATCTTGGCTCACCGCAGCCTTGAGCTCTTAGGCTCAAGCAGTCCACCCACCTCAGCTTCCTGAGTAGCTGGGATTGCAGGCACATGCCACCATGCCTGGCTAATTTTTTTTTTTGGTAGAGACTGGGTTTTGCCCCATTACCCAGGCTGGTCTTGAACTCCTGAGCTCAAGTGATCCTCCCGCCCCCCAAAATGCTGGGGTTACAGGCCACCATGCCTGGGTCATGCATGGCTTTTGTATTTCAGTATAATTTTTGCTGACTTGAAGTTATAATTATTCATAAACTGGTATGAATACATCAAGCTACAGAGTGTCCCTAGCTGTCAGGGGCTAAAATTCTTAATATTTTCTCCTCCATTTTATTTTATTATTTAATTTTTTTCTTTTTTTGAGACAAGGTTTTACCCTTGTTGCCCGGGCTGGAGTGCAATGGCATGATCTCGGCTCCCTGCGCCTCCCAGGTTCAAGTGTTTCTCCTGCTTCAGCCTCATGAATAGCTGGGATTACAGGTGTGCGCTACCACACCCAACTCATTTTTGAATTTTTAGTAGAGGCAGGGTTTCACTATGTTGGCCAGGCTGGTCTTGAACTCCTGACCTCATTTGATCTACCTGCCTTGGCCTCCCAGAGTGTTGGGATTACAGGCGTGAGCCACCGTGCCTGGCCTTTCCTCCATTTTATTATGAGAAATTTTTAAGCACAGAAAGGTTCAAAGAATTGTAGTGAGCCGGGCGCGGTGGCTCAAGCCTGTAATCCCAGCACTTTGGGAGGCCGAGGCGGGTGGATCACGAGGTCGAGAGATCGAGACCATCCTGGTCAACATAGTGAAACCCCGGCTCTACTAAAAATACAAAAAACTAGCTGGGTGTGGTGGTGCGTGCCTGTAATCCCAGCTACTTAGGAGGCTGAGGCAGGAGAATTGCCTGAGCCCAGGAGGCGGAGGTTGCGGTGAGCCGAGATTGTGCCATTGCACTCCAGCCTGGGTAACAAGAGCGAAACTCCGTCTCAAAAAAAAAAAAAAAAAAAAAAAGAATTATAGTGAACACCCAGATATCTAACATGTAGATTTTTTGATAAAAATTTGCCATAAATAGGCTGGGCAGCATAGTGAGGCCCCCTTCACTACAGAAAAAAATAAAAGAAAATTATCTGGGCATGGTGGTGCACATCTGTAGACCCCACTGCCTGGGAGGCTGAGTTGGGAGGATCGCTTGAGCCTGGGAAGTCAAGGCTGTAGTGAGCTGTGATCATGCCATTGCACTCTAGCCTGAGCAACAGAGTGACACCCTCTCTCAAAAAAAAAAACAAACAATTGGGGCGGGAGTGGTGGCTCATGCCTATAATCCTAGAACTTTGGGAGACTGAGGCGGATGGATCACGAGGTCAGAAATTCGAGATCAGCCTGGCAATATGGTGAAACTCATTCTCTACTAAAAATATAAAAAATTAGCCAGGTGTGGTGGCGTACACCTATAGTTCCAACTACTTGGGAGGCTGAGGCACGAGAATGGGTTGAACCCCGGAGGCAGAGGTTGCAGTGAGCCAAGATTCCACCATTGCACTCCAGCCTACATGACAGAGTGAGACTCTGTCTTTTCTCAGAGTCTCACTCTGTCGCCAGGTGCCAGTCTGGAGTGCAGTGGCGTGATCTTGGCTCACTGCAACCTCTGCCTCCTGAGTTCAAGCAGTTCTCCTGCCTCAGCTTCCGGAGTAGCTGGGACTACAGGCGCACCCCTCCACAGCCAGCTAATTATATATTTTCAGTAGAGACGAAGTTTCACCATGTTGGCCAGGATGGTCTCGATCTCTTGACCTTGTGATCCACCCGCCTTGGCCTCCCAAAGTGCTGGGATTACAGGCATGAGCCACAGTGTCCAGCCTGAGACTCTGTCTTTAAAAAAAATGCTATGTATTTTGTCATCTATCTCTCCATTCATCTTTTTTTTTTTTTTTTCATTTATCTCAAAGTAAGTTGCAGGTATCAGTATACTTCATTCTTTTTTTTTTTTTTTTTTTCGAGACGGAGTTTCACTCTTGTTACCCAGGCTGGAGTGCAATGGCGCGATCTCGGCTCACCGCAACCTCCGCCTCCTGGATTCAGGCAATTCTCCTGCCTCAGCCTCCTGAGTAGCTGGGATTACAGGCACGCGCCACCATGCCCAGCTAATTTTTTTTGTATTTTTAGTAGAGACGGGGTTTCACCATGTTGACCAGGTTGGTCTCGATCTCTCGACCTTGTGATCCACCCGCCTCGGCCTCCCAAAGTGCTGGGATTACAGGCTTGAGCCACCGCGCCCGGCTCAGTATACTTCATTCTAAACATGTTAACATGTTTACCATTAGCTGGATTTGCATTTCTTTTTGGAGGGGTGAGGAGTAAAATTTACATATGGTAAAATGACTAAGTCGTAAGTGTAGCATTTATTTGTAAAGCTGCTTAGTTTTTTTTGTTTCTGAGACAGAGTCATGTTCTGTCATCCAGGTTGGAGTATAGTGGCATGATTTTGGCTCACTGCAAACTCCTTCTCTCAGGTTCAAGCGTTTCTCCTGCCTCAGCCTCCTGAGTAGGTGGGATTACAGGTACCTGCAATCATGCCTGGTGAATTTTTGTATTTTTTTAGTAGAGAGGAGATTTCACCATGTTGGCCAGGTTGGTCTCAATTGCCTGACCTCAGGTGATGTGATCCACCTGCCTCCCACAGTGCTGGGATTATAGACGTGAGCCACTATACCTGCCCAAGCTGCTTAGTTTTTTAAGGAAGCCTAAAAAGTATTCTCAGAATATTTTCTTTCTTTTTTTTTTTTGAGATGGAGTTTGTTACCCAGGCTGGAGTGCAATGGCGCGATCTCAGCTCACCACAACCTCCACCTCCTGGGTTCAGGTAATTCTCCTGCCTCAGCCTCCTGAGTAGCTGGGATTACAGGCACGCGCCACCATGCCCAGCTAATTTTTTTGTATTTTTAGTAGAGACGGGGTTTCACCATGTTGACCAGGATGGTCTCGATCTCTTGACCTCGTGATCCACCCGCCTCAGCCTCCCAAAGTGCTGGGATTACAGGCTTGAGCCACCGCGCCCGGCCTTTTATTTCTTAATAGAGTAGTTCATAAAGGCTGTAAAAATTGTTCACTGTCGTAGGGCATGGGAATACAGAAGTGTGCAAAGGCTAAAACGCTAAAAGGAGTTTCAGTAAAAACTGCTTCTTTCCAGAGATTCCTTTTGGATTCTTAGAGAAAACAGCATATCTCAGGTTCTTTTTTAAGAGTAGAGGAGGCAGGCCGGGCATGGTGGCTCACGCCTGTAATCCAAGCACTTTGGAGGCCAGGGCGGGCAGATCACCTGAGGTCGGGAGTTCAAGACCAGCCTGACCAACATGGTGAAACCCTGTCTTTTTTTTAAAAAAAAAAAAAAAAAAAAAAAAAAAAAAAAAAGAGTAGAGGAGGCTGGGCAAGGTGGCCCATGCCTGTAATCCCAGCCCTTTGGAGGCCAGGGCACGTCGAGGTCAGGAGTTCTCGACCAGCCTGGCCAACACAGTGAAACCTCATCTCTTTTTTTTTTTTTTTTTTTTTGAGACGGAGTTTCGCTCTTGTTACCCAGGCTGGAGTGCAATGGCGCGATCTCGGCTCACCACAACCTCCGCCTCCTGGGTTCAGGCAATTCTCCTGCCTCAGCCTCATGAGTAGCTGGGATTACAGGCACATGCCACCATGCCCAGCTAACTTTTTGTATTTTTAGTAGAGACGGGGTTTCACCATGTTGACCAGGATGGTCTTGATCTCTCGACCTCGTGATCCACCCGCCTCGGCCTCCCAAAGTGCTGGGATTACAGGCTTGAGCCACCGCGCCCGGCTGTGAAACCTCATCTCTACGAAAAATACAAAAATTAGCCGGGCATGGTGGCACGTGCCTATAGTCCTAGCTACTCAGGAGGCTGAGGTAGGAGAATTGCTTGAATCCGGGAGGCAGAGGTTGTAGTGAGCCAAGGTCTTGCCACTGCACTCTAGCCTGGGCAACAGAGTGACAGTCTGTCTCAGGAAAAAAAAAAAAAAGGTGTAGTGTCTCACACCTGTAATCCCAGCGCTTTGGGAGGCCGCGGCAGGCGGATCACCTGAGGTCAGGAGTTGGAGACCAGCTTGACCAATATGGAGAAACCCCGTCTCTACTAAAAATACAAAATTAGCTGGATGTGGCAGTGCATGCCTGTAATTCCAGCTCCTTCAGAGGCTGAGGCAGAATTGCTTGATCCTGGAGACAGAGGTTGCAGTGAATGGAAATCACACCATCACATTGTAGTCTGGGCAACAAGAGCGAAACTCCCATCTCAAAAAAACAAAAAAAAAACAAAAAAAAACCAACAACAAAAAACAAAACTCTACTTACATAATTTAAACTAATCAGTAATTTAGTAATGGTGAAATTAAGTCTATAAAAAATTGGAGACACAATATGGTACTGTAGGATGCAAATATAAACATTATATAGTGTTCCCAGAGACACATACATGCTTTTAGTTGGCTTATAGAGAGCATTATGTGTTTGTGTGCATTACATGTTTTTATTGATTGAAATTCTAAACAGCACACAAATTTTGTAGAGTCAAAGTAGAGGAACATACAGATACCTTCTATGATATTCTCTGTGTTTTTTTTCCTTGGAAAACAGTCGAAATGAAATAAGCAACATCATTTTACAAGGCTGAAATGCTTTGGCAGAAATGCAGTGTCTTTGCATCCACCTAATTAGCAATGATTAATAGTAGCAATTTCATTTCAAATGAGTGGAACCTAACTTAATTCGGGGAGTCGGGGAGATGCATTTGTTTTTGAAGACATTTCTTTCTCTGTGTTGTAAAAAGGATATGATCTAAGAAGACACATTACTTATTGCTGCCTGTGTTTTCCTACTTGTCTACTCCTCCCCTTTCTTCTAGAAGAGTGAACTTGGAACTTAAATGTAGCATTTGTATCACTAAAAATACCACAAGTATATGGCCATCCAAATCTCCTACTAACAGTAGACTTCTGTCAGAAATTGAAGAGTTTCTAACAGACTTCCTTAAGAAGATTTGGTCATGCTGACTAAAAAAACAGTAGTTTGTGGTACTTGGTAGCTAGCTAGCATTAGTGTTTTGTGGTACTTGGTAGCTAGCTACCACATTTTCCCTGGGATAGAGATGTTGCCTATCTTAGCTATAATTCAAGCAATGAAAACCTCTTGTTTCAGCCAAGTATATACAGGAGGAATATTTGTTTCCTTAAGGGTAAGTGGATATTTGGGTAATTGTCAGTACCTTTCAGTATCTTATGTCCTCATGTTCATGTTTTGTGTTACTGTTTTTCAGTTTTATTGATTCCAGTAATTTTATAGTTTAATTTTTGGAAGCTAACTTGCAAAAAGCAGCATAGGTAAAAGAAAATAATTGGTGCTATTATGAAGCATATATCCCTGCATCCAGTTTCCCCTATTACGCAAGTTGTTTCCCTTACACATGTATGTTGTTTTGAAACATTTTGGTTCATGTCAGTCTTACTGTATGTTAGTCTTACCATATCCCCCTGATCAAAGATACAGGGAGATATTGATGATCTAGAATAGAAGCAATTTGTTTTAGACCACTGGGAAAATTTTGTTTTGTCCAATTATGCTTTTAATGTTTTTATTTTTATTTTTTATTTTTCTTACGTTGAAGCTTCAGCAGATTAGGCTTTAGTAAAATGTCAAAAAAATTAATGAGAGTTTGGTTCAGCTTAAAATGATCTGCCCCATAGATTCCCAGATTTTATTTCCAAAGCCTTCTTTAAGAAGAAAATTAATTGAAAATGCAATAATACTTTGCCTTATGAGTTTTAAAAAAGCCAATTGGAAATCGTTTTATATTAAAGATATCAGGAGCCCTTATGTTTTTGAAGAGTTCTAACAAGTTATTTTGGTAAAACATTTTCTGCACTTCATTTGTTTTGTAAATCCTAAGTCTTATGTGTTGGAAATTTGTTTAGTACTTTTTTTTTAAACTTTACATCTTTATTATAAACTGAAGATGCAAGGAACAACATACTTTTCTGGGATCTGCCAGTTAAATAGCTCTCTGGTTAACAAATTTAGGTTTTGGTGAAGGATGCTTGTTGTTTGTAACTTTCTGATGGATATAACCTACCTTTACTGTGGAGTATTACTACTTTATCCTGTTTTCACTTTATCAAAGGTTAAAATCAAAATTCTGAAAGTAATCATTGTGAATATGGCTATTTTTCTTCTTTTTCTTTTTTTTTTCTCTTTCTGGCTATTTCTTTTCTAATGTGTGAAAAAAATAGTGACCCATCTTTTTTCAGTTGAATAAGTTAAGTAGTGGATAATTTTATTGTTAATATGATAGAGATATGTTTTCATGTAGGATTTAGTTCATTCTATTTTTTAAGTGAACTTAATTTTTTTTAGAGTAGTTTTAGATTTACAGAAAAATTGTGAAGATAGTACAAAAAATTCTCTTATATCCCTACATCCAGTTCCCCCATTGTTAACATCTTACATTAATGTGGTACAGTTGTTACAGTTAAGAACCAATATTGATACATAATTGTAAACTGGAGTCCATACTTTTTTTTTTTTTTTTTGAGACGGAGTTTCACTCTTGTTACCCAGGCTGGAGTGCAGTGGCGCGATCTCGGCTCACTGCAACCTCCGCCTCCTGGGTTCAGGCAATTCTGCCTCAGCCTCCTGAGTAGCTGGGATTACAGGCACGCACCACCATGCCCAGCTAATTTTTTGTATTTTTAGTAGAGACCGGGTTTCACCATGTTGACCAAGGATGGTCTCGATCTCTTGACCTCGTGATCCACCCGTCTCAGCCTCCCAAAGTGCTGGGATTACAGGCTTGAGCCACCGCGCCCGGCCAGGAGTCCATACTTTATTTAGATTTACTTAGTCTACCTAATGTCCATTTTTTTTTTCCAGGATTTTACGATCCCATCTTACATTTAGCTCTGTCTTGGGTGCCCCTTAATTGGGCTGGTTTCTTGGCCCAATCTAAGGCTTAATTTATTTTAAGATTGATAAGTTACCGTTCTTCATAGTTTGTTTTGTTGATCTGTTTTCCTCCATATACTACTGTAGTCTATTCATTTTAAACTGCCTTTTTATTTTTCCAGTAGGAAATCCATGAAGTCCAGAAGTAGAAGTCCTGCATATTCAAGACATTCATCTTCTCATAGTAAAAAGAAGAGATCCAGTTCACGCAGTCGTCATTCCAGTATCTCACCTGTCAGGCTTCCACTGAATTCGAGTCTGGGAGCTGAACTCAGTAGGAAAAAGAAGGAAAGAGCAGCTGCTGCTGCAGCAGCAAAAATGGATGGAAAGGAATCCAAGGGTTCACCAGTATTTTTGCCTAGAAAAGAGAACAGTTCAGTAGAGGCTAAGGATTCAGGTTTGGAGTCTAAAAAGTTACCCAGAAGTGTAAAATTGGAAAAATCTGCCCCAGATACTGAACTGGTGAATGTAACACATCTAAACACAGAGGTAAAAAATTCTTTAGATACAGGGAAAGTAAAGTTGGATGAGAACTCTGAGAAGCATCCTGTTCTTAAAGATTTGAAAGCACAGGGAACAAGAGACTCTAAACCCATAGCATTGAAAGAGGAAGTTGTTACTCCAAAGGAGACAGAAACATCAGAAAAGGAGACCCCTCCACCTCTCCCCACAATTACTTCTCCCCCACCCCCTCTACCAACTACCACCCCTCCACCTCAGACTCCCCCTTTGCCACCTTTGCCTCCAGTACCAGCTCTTCCACAGCAACCACCTCTGCCTCCTTCTCAACCAGGATTTAGTCAGGTTCCTTCTTCCAGTACTTCAGCTTTGCCCCCTTCTACTCACTCAAGGACATCTGCTGTGTCCTCTCAGGCAAATTCTCAGCCCCCTGTGCAGGTTTCTGTGAAGACTCAAGTATCTGTAACAGCTGCTATTCCACACCTGAAAACTTCAACGTTGCCTCCACTTCCCCTCCCTCCCTTATTACCTGGAGATGATGACATGGATAGGTAAGTCCTATAGTGAACTGGAAAAAATTAACCACCTTGATCTAAACATAAAGTATTTTCATGCTTTTATGAACCGGAAATGCCTTTGATGTTTTCAGTAGGAACCTCTGTATTTATGACATTATTACTTGGGAAGAGAGAATAAGAATTTGAGACCTGGTTAACTCATTTTATCATTAAGTTTATTTTTTTTTAATTTCAAGACATAGTCTTGCTTTGTTGGCCACGCTGGAGTGCCGTGGCGGAATCTTGGGTTACTGTAACTTCTGCCTCCTGGATTCAAGCAAATCTCCCGAGTCAGCCTCACGAGTAGCAGGGACTACAGCCATGCAAAACCATGCCTGGCTAATTTTTAAATTTTTAATAGAGAAGGGGTTTTGCTGTGTTGCCCAGGCTGGTCTTGAACTCCTGACCTCAAGTGATTTTCCCACCTTGGCCTCCGAAAGTACTGGGATTATAGGCGTGAGCCATCACCCCTAGCCTAAGTTTATTGATAATGCTAATTTTTTTTTCCTTTTTTTTTGAGACGGAGTTTCGCTCTTGTTACCCAGGCTGGAGTGCAATGGCGCGATCTTGGCTCACTGCAACCTCCGCCTCCTGGGTTCAGGCAATTCTCCTGCCTCAGCCTCCTGAGTAGCTGGGATTACAGGCACGTGCCACCATGCCCAGCTAATTTTTTTGTATTTTTAGTAGAGACGGGGTTTCACCATGTTGACCAGGATGGTCTCGATCTCTCAACCTCGTGATCCACCCGCTTCGGCCTACCAAAGTTCTGGGATTACAGGCTTGAGCCACCGCACCCGGCTTTTTTCATTTTTTGAGACGGAATTTGGCTCTTGTTACCCAGGCTGGAGTGCAATGGTGCGATCTTGGCTCATCACAACCTCTGCTTCCTGGGTTCAAGCAATTCTCCTGCTTCAGCCTCCCGAGTAGCTGGGATTACAGGTGTGTGCCACCATGCCCAGCTAATTTTTTGTATTTTTAGTAGAGACGGGGTTTCACCATTTTGACCAGGATGGTCTCGATCTCTTGACCTCATGATCCACCTGCCTTGGCCTCCCAAAGTGCGAGGATTTTAGGCGTGAGCCACCGTGACTGTCCTAATTTTTTTTTTTTTTTGAGATGGAATTTCACTCTTGTTGCCCAGGCTGGAATGCAATGGCGCGATCTTGACTAATCACAGCTTCTGCCTTCTGGGTTCAAGGATCATCCTGCCTCAGCCTCCTGAGTAGCTGGGATTACAGGCATGCACCACCACACCTCACTAATTTTGTATTTTTAGTAGGGTCAGAGTTTCTCCATGTTGGTCAGGCTGATCTTGAACTCCTGACCTCAGGTGATCCGCCCGCCTCATCCTTCCACAGTGCTGGGATTATAGGTATGAGCCACTGTGCTTGGCCTTTGAAATTTGAAAAAGAATCAATAGAGTTTTTCCCTTAAATTTTTGTTGAAAGTATTAATACCTCTAGAAAAATTAAAAGAATAATAGGCTGGGTGCAGTGGCTCACACCTGTAATCCCAGTACTTTGGAAGGCTGAGGCTGGTGAATTACCTGAGGGCAGAAGTTCGAGATCAGCCTGGCCAACATGGTAAAACCCTGTCTCTACTAAAAGTACAAAAATTAGCGGGGCGTGGTGGCGGGCATCTATTCCCAGCTACTTGAGAGGCTGAGGCGGGAGAATGGCTTCAACCCAGAAGACTGAGGTTGTAGTAAGCCAAGATCGCATATTGCCATATTTGCTTTAACTGTGGTTTTCATGACACTTTTAAATAGTTCAGCATGTCTCTTTTAATAATAATATTATTCTATATAATCACAAGATCTTCATCACCCTGAAAAATTTAGCATTGACTTAATAATATCAATAGTCATATAAATAACATTCTATCAGTAATGATAGTATTTAACCAAATAGTTCCAGTAGCTCCCAAAATGTATTATTGTTTACAATTGGAATTCAGAATAACTCACAGAATGTCATTTATAGCTAGGTTTTTTTTTTTTTTTTTCCTGATCCAGGGTCCAAACCAGGTTTATTTTGAAAGGGGCTGTTTTTTTGTTTTTTTTTTTTTAAAAAAAAACAAAACAAAACTATTCCGGCCATGCACTGTGGTGCATGCCTGTAATCCCAGTACTTTGGGAGCCGGAGGTGGGCAGATAACAAGGTCAGGAGATTGAGACCATCCTGGCCAACATGGTGAAATGCTGTCTCTACTAAAAATACAAAAAAATTAGCTGGGCGCCGTGGCACATGCCTATAGTCACAGCTACTTGGGAGGCTGAGGCAGGAGAATTGCTTGAACCAAGGAGGCGGAGATTGCAGTGAGCTGAGATTGCGCCACTGCACTGCAGCCTGGGCGATGGTGCGCAACTCTGTCTCAAAAAAAAAATTTCGTAAAAAGTAAAAGAATAGTATGTTTCCATAAAAAGTAAAAGAACGATATGTAAAGTCTTTGCTAATTAGAATATAATTCACAATGGGATGATGGGAAGAGTTTTAATGAGTCCTCTGAATATTGAGAACTGCAATGACTATGAAGCATGAATCTTATTTTATAGAAGCCATTAACAAAAATATTTCTTTAAGCCTGGGCTTGGTGGCTCATGCCTGTAATTCCAGGACTCTGGAAAGCTGACGTAGGCGGATCACTTGAGGCCAGGAGTTCAAGATAAGCCTGGCCAACATGGTGGAACCCCATCTCTACTAAAAATACAAAAAATTAGACGGGCATGATGATGGGCGCCTGTAATCCCAGCTACTCAGGAGACTGAGGTGGGAGGATCACTTGAACTCAGGAGGTGGAGGCTGCAGTGAGCTGAGGTCATGCCACTGCACTCCAGCCTGAGTGACAGAGTGAGACTACGTCTCAAAAATATATATTTCCTCCCAGCACTTTGGGAGGCCGAGGTGGGTGTATCACGAGGTCAAGAAATTGAGACCATCCTGGTCAACAAGGTGAAACCCCGTCTCTACTAAAAATACAAAAATTAGCTGGGCATGGTGGTGCGTGCCTATAGTCCCAGCTATTCGGGAGGCTGAGGCAGGAGAATTGCTTGAACCCAGGAGGCGGAGGTTGCGGTGAGCTGAGATCGTGCCATTGGACTCCAGCCTGGGTAACAAGAGTGAAACTCTGTCTCAAAAAAAAAAAAAAAAAAAAAAAAAAAAAATATATATATATATATATATGTATATTTTCTGGGCCAGTTGCGATAGCTCACGCCTATAATCCCAGCACTTTGAGAGGCCTAGGCAGGCATATCACGAGGTCGGGAGTTCCAGACCAGCCTGGCCAACATGGTGAAACCCTGTCTCTACTAAAAACACAAAAAATTGGTGGTACGTGCCTGTAGTCCTAGCTATTCGGGTGGCTGAGGCAGGAGAATCACTTTAACCCAGGAGGCAGAGGTCTCAGTGAGTGGAGATCATGCCATTGCATTCCAGTCTGGGCGACAGAGCAAGACTCCATCTAAAAAATACATGATATATACACATACATATATACGTATATACACACACACATGTATATTAAAAATACATATACACATACATGTGTATATATGTATATATGTATACACATAAATATATACACATTATTAAATATATACACATATATACATATACACACGTGTATATTAAAAATACATATAAAATATACACGTGTGTATATGTGTATGTGTATATATGTATTTTTAATATACATGTATATGTGTATATTTTAAGCATACATATGTGTGTATATTTTTATATGTGCATATATGCACATATATATTATATATGCATATATATTTTATATACACTTGTATGTGTATATATATTTTTTATATATGCATGTGTGTCTGTGTGTATATGTATGTATGTATTTAATATTTTGACAGCACCAGTTAGGCAAGTACCACCAAACAAACTTGCTTTAGCAGTGACAGGTGATGGCCTGGCCAACATGGTAGAACCTCATCTCTACCAAAAAAAGATCTTTGTGTTATGGTTTGCTTATTCTACTGAGATACTGTGCTTTTCTCTGGGATGTGAATTGAATTCTATTGAAACAAACTTTTCATTGTAAGCACAAAATTAAGTGCCACTGACTGATCTTGCATCCTAGTCTAATTCCCAAGCCTCCCTTCCTTTCAAGGTGATACTGGTAATTTTATTTTATTTCTTTGAGACAGGATTTGGCTCTGTCCCCCAGGCTGGAGTGCCGTGGTGTGATATAGGCTCATGGCAACCTCTGCCCCCCAGCCTCAAGCGATCCTTCCATCTCAGCCTCCTGACTAGCTGGGATTACAGGTGTGCGCTACCACAACTGGCTAATTTTTTTTTTTTTTTTTTGAAACAGAGTCTTGCTCTTTCTCCAGGTTGGAGTGCAGTGACGTGATCTGGGCTCACTGCAAACTCCACCTCCTGGGTTGAAGCAATTCTCCTGCCTCAGCCTCCCCAGTTACTGGGATTACAGGCGTGCACCACCATGCCCAGCTAATTTTTGTATTTTTATCAGAGACGGGGTTTCACCATATTGGTCAGGATGGTCTCAGTCTCTCTTTTTTTTTTTTGAGATGGAGTTTCGCTCTTATTACCCAGGCTGGAGTGCAATGGCGAGATCTCGGCTTACCGCAACCTCTGCCTCCTGGGTTCAGGGGCAATTCTCCTGCCTCAGCCTCCTGAGTAGCTGGGATTACAGGCACGCGCCACCATGCCCAGCTAATTTTTTGTATTTCTAGTAGAGACGGGGTTTCACCATGTTGACCAGGATGGTCTCGATCTTTTGACCTTGTGATCCATCCGCCTCTGCCTCCCAAAGTGCTGGGATTACAGGTATGAGCCACTGTGCCCAGCCACACCTAGCTAATTTTTAAATTTTTTTGTAGAGATGAGGTTTCCTCATCTTGCTCAGGCTGATCTCAAACTCCTGGACTCAAGTGATCTGTTTGACTTGGCCTTCCAAAGTGTTGGGATTACAGCCATGAGCCACCACTCCCGCCCAGTATTGGTAATTTGAATGATGATACATTTCAGCCCTCTGAGTACGAAAGTATGTTCTTTCTTTTCTTTTCTTTTTTTTTGGGATCGAATTTTGCTCTTGTTGTTCAGGCTGTAGTGCAGTGGCACAATCTTGGCTCACCGCAACCTCTGCCTCCCAGGTTCAAGCAGTTGTTCTGCCTCAGCCTCCCGAGTAGCTGGGATTACAGACCTGTGCTACCACGCCTGGCTAATTTTGTATTTTTAGTAGAGAGGAGGTTTCTCCATGTTGGTTCTTGAACTGCTGACCTCAGGTGATCCAACTGCTTCGGCCTCCCAAAGTTCTGGGATTACAGGTGTGAGCTACTGTGCCTGGCCGAAAGTTCTTTCATGTTTACCCTCTGTTCTTTTACAGAAGATGCAAATGGAAAGGGGGAGATAAACTATTTTTCTTTCTTTCTTTCTTTCGTTTTCTCTCTCTCTCTCTCTCTCTCTCTCTCTCTCTGTCTCTCTCTTTCTTTCTTATTGCTGCTCTGAGAAGGGAGATAAACTATTTTAAGGAATGGCTCCATCACTATTTATAGTAACAAATATGATTTGTTTGTTTGTTTTTTGGATGGGCAGACTGCCAAAATCTGATTTTAAAGAAAATTTCCCCATGCTCTTTCTAATGTTAATAGGTATGTATGGACTGAGCTTTGTGGCTGTAATCCCAGCATTTTGGGAGGTCAAGGTGGGAGGATTGTTTAAGGCCAGAAGTTCAAGGCCAGCCTGGACAATAATGTTGTGAGACCCCATCTTTATGAAACATTTAAAAATTAGCTGGATGTGGTGGCAGGTACTTGTAGTCCTAGCTACTTGGAAGGCTGAGGCAGGAGGATCACTTGAGTCCAGGAGTTCAAGGCTGCAGTGAACTATGATAGGGCTGCTATACTCCAGCCTGGGTGAAAGAGACCCTATTTCTAAAAAAGAAAAAAAAAATTTAATTAAAAAGTAATAAATTCTGTCACATGATGAAAATTACAGAGGAGAAAAACAGAGCCTGAAAGTTATGTGGAAGAATTAATTTGAGGTCCACAATATACTTTTCATAGATAAAAACCATATTTTTATAGTTTTTGTTGGAAAAGGAAATAGCTGAGCATTATCCAAAGAGACTCTACTCTAGCCCTTTAGCTACAGGAAGCTCATTTCAATACTTGTTTGCATAGTGGCTAGAATATTAAGGTGGCTAAGAATCTTGATTTTTTTTTTTTTTCACTTCAGAAGAATGTTTAGGAAACAAAAAGAATATGGTGGTGGTTTTTTTTTTTTGTGTGTGATGGAGTCTTGCTCTGTTGCCAGGCTGGAGTGCTGTGGCTTAATCTTGGCTCACTGCAACCTCTGCCTCCTGGCTTTAAGTGATTCTTCTGCCTCAGCCTCCTGAGTAGCTTGGGTTACAGGCGCCTGCCACCATGGCTGGCTATTTTTTTTGTGTTTTTAGTAGAGACAGGATTTCACCTTGTTGGCCAGGCTGTTCTCAAACTCCTGACCTCAAGTGATCTGCCTGCCTCAGCCTCCCAAAGTGCTGAGATTACAGGCATGAGCCACTGCGCCCTGCCTAATTATTGTTTTTTTTTTTTTTTTTTTTTTTGTATTTTTAGTAGAGACGGAGTTTCACCATGTTGATCAGGATGGTCTCGATCTCTTGACCTCGTGATCCACCTGCCTCGGCCTCCCAAAGTGCTGGGATTACAGGTTTGAGCCACCGCGCCCGGCCACTATTTGTATTTTTTGAGATGGGATTTTGCTCTTGTCGCCCTGGCTGGATTGCAGTGGCACGATCTTGGCTACAACCTCTGCTTCCTGCATTCAAGCATTTCTGCCTCAGCCTCCCAAGTAGCCGGGATTATTGGCACGTGCCACCACACCCAGCTAATTTTGTATTTTTAGTAGTGACGGGGTTTCACCATGTTGGCCAGGCTGATCACGAACTCTTGACCTCAGGTGATCTGCCTTCCTTGACCCCTCAATATACAGAGATTTCAGGTGTGAACCACCATGTCCCCCTATTTTTTTTTTTAGACAAGAGTTTCATTCTTGTTACCCAGGCTGGAGTGCAATGGCACGATCTCGGCTCACCGCAACCTCCGCCTCCTGGGTTCAGGCAATTCTCCTGTCTCAGCTTCCTGAGTAGCTGGGATTACAGGCACGCGCCACCATGCCCAGCTAATTTTTAGTATTTTTAGTAGAGACGGGGTTTCACCATGTTGACCAGGATGGTCTCGATCTCTTGACCTCGTGATCCACCCGCCTCGGCCTCCCAAAGTGCTGGGATTACAGGCTTGAGCCACCGCGCCCGGCCCTACTGTTTTTAATTGAGATAGAGTCTCGCTCTGTTGCCCATGCTGGAGTGCCGTGATGTGATCTTGGCTCACTGCAATGTCTGCCTCCCAGGTTCAAGTGATTCCCCTGCCTCAGTCTCCCAGGTAGCTGGGATTACAGGCACACACCACCGCTCCTGGCTAATTTTTGGTATTTAATAGAGACAGGGTTTCACCACATGGGCAAGGATGGTCTTGAACTCCTGACCTTAGGTGGTCCACCTCCATTGGCCTCCCAAAGTGCAGGCATTAGAAGGATGAGCCACAGCACCCAGCCCTAGACATGATTATTATCAGTTTTCTACATATTAATAAATAACTAAGGGTGAAAAATGGAAATAGCCTAGGTTCTGTGGCTGGCTCCTGTAATCTCAGTCATTAGGAAGGCCAAGGCAGGAGGATTGCTTGAGCCCAGGAGTTTGAGACCAGTCTAGGCAACATGGCAAGACGCTGTTTCTACCAAAAAAAAAAAAAAATTTAGGCATGATAGCTTGCACCTGTCATCTCAGCTACTTTGGAGACTGAGGTGAGAATCACTTGAGCCTGGAAGATGGAAGCTACAGTGAGCCATGAATGCACCACTGCACTCTAGCCTGTATTTCAGTGAGATGTTGTATCAAAAAAGGAGAGGATGTCTTCCATTATCAATTTTGTTGTTTCATTTTAAATTCAAGATGTATTTCTGTTTCTGTTGTGTATGTGTGTGTTTGTGTGTTTGTGTGCACTGCTATGTACCAGCTGCTCCATATCCATGTACCAGCTGCTCACTATGTTTGACATGAAAAGTAATTTTTACGTAGGAAAGCTTTTTAGAAACAAACTGAAAACTTGTGTAAGGAACTCACTTACATTCTCTATTTTATCTTCTCTGACTTACACATCTTTTTATTACTTACAGTATCTTTTTTTCTTTAATTTTTTTTTTTTTTTTTGAGACAGAGTTTTGCTCTTGTTACCCAGGCTGGAGTGCAATGGCGCCATCTCGGCTCACTGCAACCTCCGCCTCCTGGGTTCAGGCAATTCTCCTGCCTCAGCCTCCTGAGTAGCTGGGATTACAGGCACGTGCCACCATGCCCAGCTAATTTTTTGTATTTTTAGTAGAGACAGGGTTTCACCATGTTGACCAGGATGGTCTCGATCTCTCAACCGCGTGATCCACCCGCCTCGGCCTCCCAAAGTGCTGGAATTACAGGCTTGAGCCACCGCGCCCGGCCTAATTTTTTTTTTTTTTTTTGAGACGGAGTTTCGCTCTTGTTACCCAGGCTGGAGTGCAATGGCGCGATCTCAGCTCACCGCAACCTCCGCCTCCTGGGCTCAGGCAATTCTTCTGCCTCAGCCTCCTGAGTAACTGGGATTACAGGCACGCGCCACCACGCCCAGCTAGTTTTTTGTATTTTTAGTAGAGATGGGGTTTCACCATGTTGACCAGGATGGTCTCCATCTCTCGACCTCGTGATCCACCCGCCTTGGCCTCCCAAAGTGCTGGGATTACAGGCTTGAGCCACCGCGCCCGGCCTAATTTTTTTTTTTTTTTTTTTTGAGACGGAGTTTCGCTCTTGTTACCCAGGCTGGAGTACAATGGCGCGATCTTGGCTCACTGCAACCTCCGCCTCCTGGGTTCAGTCAATTCTCCTGCCACAGCCTCCTGAGTAGCTGGGATCACAGGCACGCGCCACCATGCCCAGCTAATTTTTTTGTATTTTTAGTAGAGACGGGGTTTCACCATGTTGACCAGGATGGTCTCGATCTCTTGACCTCGTGATCCACCTGCCTCGGCCTCCCAAAGTGCTGGGATTACAGGCTTGAGCCACCGCACCCGCCTCCTAATTTTTTTTTATTTTCACAGAACAATTAGGATACTTATGGTACCTTATAGATGGAATACAGAATGCGGTTAGTAAACATTGGTTATTTGAATTGATGGAGCCAGAGTCAGGGCTTGTGTGAATGACAGTGGACATGTAAGAGATATCAGTGTGCACATAAAGAACATAAAGCTTATATTAGAGGATTTGTTTGTTGTTTTTGTCCAAGACAGAGTCTTGCTGTGTTGCCCAGGCTGGAGTGCAGTGGCATGATCTGGGCTCAGTGTAATCACTGACTCCTGGGATCAAGCGATTTTCCTGCCTCAGCCTCCGAAGTAGCTATGACAACAGGCACCTGCCATCATGCCCAGCTAATTTTGGATTTTTAGTAGAGTCAGGGATTTCCCATGTTGACCAGGCTGGTGTCAAACTTCTAACCTCAGATGATCCATCTGCCTTGGCCTCCCAAAGTGTTGAGAATAGAGATGGTGAGCCACGCTCCCTGCCTTTTTTTTTTTTTTTTTTTTTTTTAAAGACAGTTTCACTCTTGTTACCCAGGCTGGAGTGCAATGGTGGGATCTTGGCTCACTGCAACCTCCACCTCCTGGGTTCAGGCAATTCTCCTGCCTCAGCCTCCCGAGCAGCTGGGATTACAGGCACGTGCCACCATGCCCAGTTAATTTTTTTGTATTTTTAGTAGAGACTGGGTTTTACCATGTTGACCAGGATGGTCTCGATCTCTTGACCTCGCGATCCACCTGCCTTGGCCTCCCAAAGTGCTGGGATTACAGGCGTGAGCCACCGTGCCTGGCTTTTTTTTTTTTTTTTTTTTTTTTTGAGCCGGAGTTTCGCTCTTGTTACCCAGGCTGGAGTCCAATGGCACGATCTTGGCTCACCGCAACCTCCGCCTCCTGGGTTCAAGCAATTCTCCTGCCTCAGCCTCCCGAGTAGCTGGGACTACAGGCGCGTGCCACCATGCCCAGCTAATTTTTGTATTTTTAGTAGAGATGGGGTTTCACCTTGTTGACAAGGATGGTCTCGATCTCTTGACCTCGTGATCCACCTGCCTCGGCCTCCCAAAGTGCTGGGATTATAGGCGTGAGCCACCATTTTTTGTTTTGTTTTGTTTTGAGGCAGAGTTTCTCTCTTGTTACCCAGGCTGGAGTACAATGGCTCGAACTCAGCTAATTACAACCTCCACTTCCTTGGTTCAAGCAGTTCTCCTCCCTTAGCTGCCGAACTGGGACTGTAGTCAGCCGCCACCATGCTCAGCTAATTTTTGTGTTTTTTACTAGAGACAGGGTTTTACCACATTGACCATGCTGATGGCAAACTCCTGACCTCAAGTTATCCATTCGCCTTGGCCTCCCAAAGTTGTGGGATTACAGGTGTGAGCCACAGTGCCTGACCCTAGAGGATTTAGTGTCATTTTGGGAAAAGAATGAAACTTTTTTTCTTTTTTGAGATGGACTCTGGCTCTGTCGCCCAGGCTGGAGTGCAAGTGGTATGATCTTGGCTCACTGCAACCTCTGACTCCTGGGTTCAAGTGATTCTCCTACCTCAGCCTCCTGAGTAGCTGGGATTACAGGCAGGTGCCACTATGCCCTGCTAATTTTTTGTATTTTTAGTAGATGCAGAGTTTCACTGTGTTAGCCAGGAGGGTCTTGATCTCCTGACCTTGGCCTCCCAAAGGGTTGGGATTACAGGCGTGAGCCATTGCACCTGGCTTTTTTTTCTTTTTTCTTTTTTTTTTTTTGAGACGGAGTTTCGCTCTTGTTACCCAGGCTGGAGTGCAATGGCGCGATCTCGGCTCGCCGCAACCTCCGCCTCCTGGGTTCAGGCAATTCTCCTGCCTCAGCCTCCTGAGTAGCTGGGATTACAGGCACGCGCCACCATGCCCAGCTAATTTTTTGTATTTTTAGTAGAGACGGGGTTTCACTATGTTGACCGGGATGGTCTCGATCTCTTGACCTCATGATCCACCCGCCTCGGCCTCCCAAAGTGCTGGGATTACAGGCGTGAGCCACCGCGCCCGGCCGTTTTTTCTTTTTTTTTTTGAGACAGAGTCTCACTCTGTCACCTGTGCTGGAGTGCAGTAGTGTGATCTTGCCTCACTTTGAGTCCCAAGTGATTTTCCTGCCTCAGCCTCCCAAGTAGCTGGGATTACAGGCATATGCCACCACAACCGGCTAATTTTTTTTTTTTTTTTTAGACGTTGTTTGGCTCTTGTTGCCCAGGCTGGAGTGCAGTGGTATGATCTCAGTTCACTGCAACCTCTGCCTCCTGGGTTCAAGCAGTTTACCTGCCTCAGCCTCCCAAGTAGCTGAGATTCCAGCTAATTATTTTGTAATGTTTAGTAGAGACAGGATTTCACCATGTTGGCCATGCTGGTCTCAAACTCTTGACCTCAAGTGATCCACCCGCCTTGGCCTCCCAAAGTGCTGAGATTACAGGTGTAAGCCATGCACCTGGCTGAAACTTTACTTTCAAAACATCTATTTTAAGTAGGAGTATACTAGCTCAGGTGTCAAATGCAAGAATGAATTTAGCTAATGTTATTTCAAAATTCTTTCTTGTGGTTTACAATTCTTGATTTCAAGAAGCAAGACAGCCCATGTCCAACATAGTACCATCTGCATGACCATAGCTATTAATGGATATATTCCTGCCTTAAGTAGATCATCTGTGTGCTCTTAAAAATTTCAGTTAACCACATACAATTTTTAAAGTCTGATTTTCTTCTTTTTTTTTTGAGACAGAAGCACACTGTCACCCAGGCTGGCATGATCTTGGCTCACCGCATTCTCCACCTCCTGGGCTCAGGCAATCCTGCCTCAGCCTTCTGAATAGCTGGGACTACAAGCACATGCCACCACACTTGGCTGTTTTTTTTACATTTTTGGTAGAGACCAAGTTTCGCTATGTTTCACAGACTGGTCTCAAACTCCTGAGCTCAAGCAATCTGCCCACCTTGGCCTCCCAAAGTGCTGGGATTACACATGTGAACCACCGCACCCAGCCCTTCTGTTTTTTTTTTTCTGATAGCTTTATTTCGAGTTTACTGAACTTCAAGGGAGTCTGCGTCATTTTTAAAGGCTGTAGCTCTAAAAGTTCAGGAAACTCCAAATGAACCAGGATTTTGCTAGTAAAATGCAATGCTTGGTTTTCATTTTTTATGTACTTAACTAAACTTTTTTTTAAAAAAAATAGGGAACACTTCACGAATTATGTCATCTTTTTTAGGGGCCATGTTATTCTTTTCTGTTTTGTTCCTGTTTTAGTGTATGGGATGCTGAAGTGAGCACTCAACTAAAAAAAAAATTTTTTTTAAATGTATATATATGCAATTTTATTCTTGTTCTTTTGAGGCAAAGTCTCTGTCCCACAGGCTGGAGTGCAGTGATACAAGAGCTCGGCTAACTGCAACCTACACCTCGCAGGTTCAAGCAGTTCTCCTGCCTCAACTTCCCAGGTAGCTGGGATTACAGGTGTCTGCCACCATGCCCAGCTGATTTTTTTTTTTTTTTTTTGAGACGGAGTTTCGCTCTTGTTACCCAAGCTGGAGTGCAATGGCGCGATCTCGGCTCACCGCAACCTCTGCCTCCTGGGTTCAGGCAATTCTCCTGTCTCAACCTCCTGAGTAGCTGGGATTACAGGCACGCACCACCATGCCCAGCTAATGTTTTGTATTTTTAGTAGAGACAGGGTTTCACCTTGTTGACCAGGATGGTCTCGATCTCTTGCCCTCGTGATCCACCTGCCTCGGCCTCCCAAAGTGCTGGGATTACAGGCTTGAGCCACTGCGCCCGGCAATTTTTTTTTTTTTTTGAGATGGAATCTCACATTGTTGCTGGGGCTGGAGTGCAGTGACACGATCTTGGTTCATTGCAACCTCCGCCTCTGGGTTCAAGTGTTTCTCCTGCCTCAGCCTCCCCAGTAGCCTGGATTATAGGTGCCCACCATCATGCCCAGCTAATTTTTTTGTATTTTTAGTGGAGACAGGGTCGCACCATCTTTGCCAGACTGGTCTTGAATTCCTGACCTCGTGATTCACCCACCTCGGCCTCCCAAAGTGCTGGGATTACAGACATGAGCCACTGTGCCTGGCTGTGACTTTTCAAGTAAATGGCTGTATGTATAGCATCTGCTCCTCTCCTATGTTAGACTCACTTGGCACATACCACATGTCCTCAGTCTTTTTTTTTTTTTTTTTAAAAGATGGGGTTTCACCATGATGGCCAGGCTGGTCTTGAACTCCTGACCTCAGGTGATCCACCCACCTTGGCCTCCCAAAGTGCTAGGATTACAGGCATGAGCCACTGCGCCCGGCCCTCCTCAGTCTTTTGTAATACTTAAGTGTCCTATGCTAAAGGCCATAATGTTAAGCATTGTAGTTTTGAGGTTGTGATTAAATTTTCTGGGGTTTTGGTAAATTGGAATTTGTTGAAACAGGATTTTACTTCTATTCAAATTGTATATCCTGAACTGGTAGGACATAGCCTGTCACACACTCATTCTGTCTTGAAATAAACATGCTAAAAATGTAATATTTTAGAAGCAGTATACATTTTTCATACAGGTTCAAGATCCCTAATCTAAAAATCTAAAATCTAGAAATCCTCCAAAATCTGGAACATTTTGAGTGCTCACTTCAGCATCCTAAAGGAAATGCTCATTGGAGCATTTCAGTATTTAAATTTTTGCATTGAGTATCTTCAACCAGTATAATGCAAATAATTCAACATCTAAAACAATCCAGAATTTGATTTTTTTTTTTTGGAGATTAAGTCTTGCTCTTTGACCAGACTGGAGTGCAGTGGTGTGATCCTGGCTTACTGCAACCTCCATATCCTCGGTTCAAGCGATTCTCCTGCTTCAGCCTCCCAAGTAGCTGAGATTACAGGCACGCATCACCATGCACAACTAATTTTTTTGTGTTTTTAGTAGAGATGATGTTTCACCATGTTGGCCAGGATAGCCTCCATCTCTTGACCTTGTGATCCACCCACCTCAGCCTCCCAAAGTGCTGGGATTATAGGTGTGAGCCACCACACCCAGCCACAATCCAAATTTTTTTTTTTTTTTTTTTTTTTTGAGACGGAGTTTCGCTCTTGTTACCCAGGCTGGAGTGCAATGGCGTGATCTCAGCTCACCACAACCTCCGCCTCCTGGGTTCAAGCAATTCTCCTGCCTCAGCCTCCTGAGTAGCTGGGATTTACAGGCACGTGCCACCATGCCCAGCTAATTTTTTTTTTTGTATTTTTAGTAGAGACGGGGTTTCACCATGTCGACCAGGATGGTCTCGATCTCTCGACTTCGTGATCCACCCGCCTCGGCCTCCCAAAGTGCTGGGATTACAGGCTTGAGCCACCGCACCCGGCCACAATCCAAAATTTGAATTACTCTGGTTTGAGGCATTTTGGATAAGGAAATACCTAACTGTATTAGCAAATTCTATTTGAGCTCATAAAGTAAACATTGGAGAAAACAAAACCTAAATATGAAGCATAGACTGACTGGGCAAGGTGACTGATGCCTGTAATCCCAGCACTTTAGGAGGCCAAGGCAGGAGGATTGTTTCAGGTAGGAGTTTGAGACTAGCCTGGCATCCCATTTTTTTTTTTTTTTTTTGAGACGGTGTCTCACTGTGTCGCCAAGCTGGAGTGCAGTGGTGCGATCTTGGTTCACTGCCATCTCTGCCTCCCATGTTGAAGTGATTCCCCTGCTTCAGCCTCCAAGTAGCTGCAACTACAGTTGTGCACCCCACACTGGGCTTTTGTGTGTGTGTGTGTGTGTGTGTGTGTGTGTGTGTTTTAGTAGAGACACTGGTTTCACCATGTTGGATAGCATGGTGTTGATCTCCTGACCTTGTGATCCATCCACCCCAGCCTCCCAAATTGCTGGGATTATAGGTGTGGGCCACCTCGCCCAGCTCCCATCTCTTAAAAAAAAATTAGCCAGCTGTGGTGGTGTGTACCTGTAGTCTCAGCAACTGGGAATGTTGTGATGGGCCTTGAGCCTTGAGGCTGCGGTGAGCCATCATTGCACCACTGCACTCCAACTTGGATAACAGAGCAAGATTCTGTGTCCAAACAAACAGACATAAAAACTATAGACTGAATTAATTTAAAATGATGATGAGATAATTAAAATACCTTAATTTTTTTTTCTTTTTTTCTTTTCTTTTTTTTTTTTTGAGACAGTATCTTGCCCTGTTGCTCAGGCTAGAGTATGGGGGGGTGATCTTGGCTCACTGCAACCTCTGTCCCTTGGGTTCCAGTGATTCTCCTTTCTTCTTAGCCTCCCAAGTAGGTGGGATTACAGGTGTGCACCCCTATGCCCAGCTAGTTTTTGTAGTTTTAGTAGGGGTGGTTTCACCTTGTTGGACAGGCTGGTCTCGAACTCCTGACTTCAGGTGATCTGTCCACGTTGGCCTCCCAAACTGCTGGGATTACAGGCATGAGCCATTGCATCTGATTTCATTTTTTTTTTTTTTTTTTTTTTTTTTTTTGGAGAGAGAGTTTCACTCTTGTTACCCAGGCTGGAGTGCAATGGCGCGATCTCGGCTCACTGCAACCTCCGCCTCCTGGGCTCAGGCAATTCTCCTGCCTCAGCCTCCTAAGTAGCTGGGATTACAGGCACGCGCCACCACGCCCAGCTAGTTTTTTGTATTTTTAGTAGAGACGGGATTTCACCATGTTGACCAGGATGGTCTCGATCTCTCGACCTCGTGATCCACCTGCCTTGGCCTCCCAAAGTGCTGGGATTACAGGCTTGAGCCACCGCGCCTGGATTTTTTTTTTTTTTTTTTTTTTGAGACGGAGTTTCGCTCTTGTTACCCAGGCTGGAGTGCAATGGCGCGATCTCGGCTCACCGCAACCTCCGCCTCCTGGGTTCAGGCAATTCTCCTGCCTCAGCCTCCTGAGTAGCTGGGATTACAGGCACGTGCCACCATGCCCAGCTAATTTTTTGTATTTTTAGTAGAGACGGGGTTTCACCGTGTTGACCAGGATGGTCTCGATCTCTCGACCTCGTGATCTACCCGCCTCGGCCTCCCAAAGTGCTGGGATTACAGGCTTGAGCCACCGCGGCCGGCCTTTTTTTTTTTTTTTTTTTTTGAGGCAGAGCCTTGCTCTGTCACTTAGGCTGGAGTGTAGTGGGGTGATCATGGCTGTAATCCTTGACCCCCGGCCCCTCCCCCAAAGCGATTTTCCCGCTTCAGCCTCCTTAGTAGCTGGGACCAGAAGTGTACCACCCAGATAACTTTGTTTATTTTTTTAGAGTTAAGGTCTCACTATATTTCCCAGGCTGATCTTGAACTTCTGGGCTCATGCAGTCTTCCTGCCTTGGCTCCCAAAGTAGTGGGATTACAGGCATAAGCCACCATGCTTAGCCTGATTTTTCTTGTTTTTCTAGTGAAGCCAAACCAAGAAGAAATCTATTTTGAATAATGAGGAATTGAGATTTCTGAAGAATATTTGGGCCGGGCATGGTGGCTTATGCTTGTAATCTCAGCACTTTGGGAGGCCAAGGCAGGTGGATCACGAGGTCAAGAGTTTGAGACCTTCCTGGCTAATATGGTGAAACCCTGTAGGATAATTGCTTGAGGAGGAGGTTGCAGCGAGCCGAGATCCTGCCACTGCACTCCAGCGTAGCAACAGAGTGGCAAATCCGTCTCAAAAACAAAACAGGAATATTTGGACAGTGGTTGAGAAATTATAAGTTTTCTTTCCCTGAATATCTTAAAAAATGGGAATAATTTTAAAAATCTGCATTGCATTGTGACTCAGAGTTTTCTGGTAATAGGCTTTGTTCCTAGGATGGAAAAATCTGAGTGCAGATTATCTTGTATGTTTGTCTCTCCTAGTATTTTCACAGAAAGTTTCAGATGATCATTTCACACTCCATTGATTACTCTGGTTCTGGTTGATATGGTACAGACAAACCTACATTGTATTTTTCTGTTGGATTTACAAGGGATTAAAATGATAATAATTGGCAGGAGTCAATAGCTCTTGAGATTTATATTCTTATAATTTGACTAAGTGACATTCTTTTATGGAAAATATTTAAAATTTCACATAAAGAGGGCAGCAGTATTCTTTAAAAAGATACAAGAGATAGATCTTTGTGGTTATAGGAAGTATTCATGCAAAGCACCAGTTTTTTCGTTTATAACTAACTGTCATAAAAATGGAGACGATCCCTTGTGGTTAAGGTTCTCAGATCTTTTTCAGCCTTCCGATTGTGAAGGAATAGAAAAGACCCATTCTGTCCTGATTTTATTTGTAGGCATGTGTTAGTCTGTTGTACTATAGATGTCTTATTTTTTATGAGGATGTGAACATTTTTTTTTTTTTTTTTTTTTTTTGAGACAGAGTTTCGCTCTTGTTACCCAGGCTGGAGTGCAATGGCGCGATCTCAGCTCACCGCAACCTCCGCCTCCTGGGTTCAGGCAATTCTCCTGCCTCAGCCTCCTTTTTTTTTTTTTTTGAGACGGAGTTTCGCTCTTGTTACCCAGGCTGGAGTGCAATGGCACGATCTCGACTCACCGCAGCCTCCGCCTCCTGCGTTCAGGCAATTCTCCTGTCTCAGCCTCCTGAGTAGCTGGGATTACAGGCACGCACCACCATGCCCAGCTAACTTTTTTTGTATTTTTAGTAGAGACGGGGTTTCACCATGTTGACCAGGATGGTCTCGATCTCTTGACCTTGTGATCCACCCGCCTTGGCCTCCCAAAGTGCTGGGATTACAGGCTTGAGCTACCGCACCCTGCTGTGAACAGTTTTTTTTGTACTGTAAATGTCTTTTATGAGGATGTGCACAATTTGTTGTAGATGTCTTATCTTTTATGAGGATGTGCACAATTTTTCTTTTTTTTTTTTTTTGAGACGGAGTTTCGCTCTTGTTACCCAGGCTGGAGTGCAATGGCGCGATCTCGGCGCACCGCAACCTCCGCCTCCTGGGTTCAGGCAATTCTCCTGCCTCAGCCTCCTGAGTAGCTGGGATTATAGGCACGCGCCACCATGCCCAGCTAATTTTTTGTATTTTTAGTAGAGACGGGGTTTCACCATGTTGACCAGGTTGGTCTTGATCTCTCGACCTTGTGATCCACCCGCCTCGGCCTCCCAAAGTGCTGGGATTACAGGCTTGAGCCACCGCGCCCGGCAATTTTTCTTTTTTTTTGAGACAAAGTCTCACTCTGTCACCCAGGCTGGAGTGCAGTGGCATGATCTCAGTTTACTGTAATCTCTGCCTCCCCAGTTCAAGCAAAGCTTATGTCTCTTGAGTAGCTGGAACTACAGGCACATGCTGTCACACCCAGCTAATTTCTTTTGTTATTCTTTTTGTTTACTTTTTTTGGAGACGGAGTGTTGCTCTGTCGCCTGGGCTGGAGTGCAATGGCACGATCTTAGCTCACTGCAACCTTCACCTCCCGGGTTCACGCAGTTCTCCTGCCTCAGTCTCCCAAGTAGCTGGGATTATAAGTGCCCACCACCACAACCTGCTGATTTTTTTGTATTTGTAGTAGAGACAGGTCTTGAACTCCTGACCTTGTGATCTGCCTGCCTCAGCCTCTCAAAGTGCTGGGTTTACAGGCATGAGCCACTGTGCCTGACCTAATTTTTGTGTTTTTAATAGAGACAAAGTTTCACCATGTTGGCCAGGTTGTTCTTGAACTCCTGGGATCAAGTGATCCGTCTGCCTTGGCCTCCCAAAGTGTTGAGATTACAGATGTGAGCCACCATGCCCCAGGCTCATGGCACAACATTTGTCTATTACCTATTAATAAACTTAGATGAAATCCCGAATCTGGGCCATGTGTGGTAGGAGAGGATCTTTTGGGGAGGTTCAGGAGTTCGTGATCAGCCTGGGCAATATGAGAAGACCTTGTCTCTACAAAAAAATTTTTAAAATTAGTTGGGTATGGTGGTGTTTGCTGTGGTCCCAGCTTAGGAGGCAAAGGTGGAAGCATTGCTTGAGCCCAGGAGATTGAGACTGCAGTGAGCGATGAATGCATCATTGCATTCCAGCCTCTGCAACAAAGTGAGTCCCTCTCTGGAAAAAAAAAAAAAAAAAGGATCTGAACACTTACTTTTCTGTTCTATTCCTGGAAAGCTGTCTTTTTTCCTTACTGACTATTGTAGTTTGCTGATTATTATGAGAGGCCTCTGCCACTAGGTGCCTTAGTTCTGAAATAGTTGCTTGGACCCTTTCTCCTTAGATTTTAGTTTGATGATTATCTATTTTGGCTGGTCAGAGAGATTAGCCTTCTGCTTTGAAATGAACAGAATAGGCCGGGCGCGGTGGCTCAAGCCTGTAATCTCAGCACTTTGGGAGGCCGAGGCGGGTGGATCACGAGGTCGAGAGATCGAGACCAACCTGGTCAACATGGTGAAACCCCGTCTCTACTAAAAATACAAAAAATTAGCTGGGCATGGTGGCGTGTGCCTGTGATCCCAGCTACTCAGGAGGCTGAGGCAGGAGAATTGCCTGAACCCGGGAGGCGGAAGTTGCGGTGAGCCGAGATCGCGCCATTGCACTCCAGCCTGGGTAACAAGAGCGAGACTCCATCTCAAAAAAAAAAAAAAAAAAAAAAAAAAGGAAAGAAATGAACAGAATAATTCAGTATATTTTTTATTAGTTTTGACTTACAACGTAACTATACTTCTATATATTTTTGTAAATATCTTCTACAGTTTACTATATTTCTTACGGGCAAGACATTGTGAAATACTGTTTCCTTTTTCTTTAGCAATAGGGTAGTATTAAATTGTTGAGCTCTTGTTACTTAAATCTTTGTTAAAATGTAGAGTAAGTTCTATGAACTCAGAGTTGCAGGGATACTTTGTGAATTTAAGGTGATTACTTCTTGCATTTCATTTCTAGTTTTAAAATTTTAAGTTTTTGGGACAGAGTCTCCCTTCGTTGCCTGGGGTGGAGTTCAGTGGTGTGGTGATGGTTCACTATAGCTTTGACTTCCTGGGCTCAAATGATCCTCCCATCTGAAGACTGCCTGTTCCCATCTGCCTAGCTAATTTTCTTTGAGAAGAGAGGTTTTTGTTTGTTATTTTTTGTTTTTGTTTATTTTTAAACAGAGTTTTGTTCTTGTTGCCCAGGATGGAGTGCAATGGCAGGATCTTGGCTCACAGTAACCTCCACCTCCTGGGTTCAAGCAATTCTCGTGCCTCAGCCTCCCGAGTAGTTGGGATTACAGGCATGCATCATTAAGCCTGGCAAATTTTTGTGTTATTAGTAGATACAGGGTTTCTCCGTGTTGGTTAGGCTGGTCTCCAACTCTGGTCCTCAGGTGATGTGTCCACCTTGGCCTCCCAAAGTGCTGGGATTACAGGCGTGAATTACCGTGCCCTGCCTGAGACAGAGTTTTGATGTCACCAAGGCTGGAGTACAGTGAGGCAATCTTGTCTCACTGCAACCTCTGCCTCCCAGGCTCAAGCAGTTCTCCTGCCTCAGCTTCCCAAGTAGCTGGGATTACAGGCACATGCCACCACACCTGGTTAATCTTTGTATTTTTAGTAGAGACAGGGTTTCACCATGCTGGGCAGGCTGGTCTTGAGTTCCTGATCTCAAGTGATCTGCCCATCCCAGCCTCCCAAAGTGCTGGGATTACAGGTGTGAGCCACTGCACCCATCTTTTTTTGTTTTTTTTTTTTGAGACAGAGTGTTGCTCTTGTTACCCAGGCTGGAGTGCAATGGCATGATCTCAGCTCACCGCAACCTCCGCCTCCTGGGTTCAAGCAATTCTCCTGCCTCAGCTTCCTGAGTAGCTGGGACTACAGGCACACGCCACCATGCCCAGCTAATTTTTTGTATTTTTAGTAGAGACGGGATTTCACCACGTTGACCAGGATGGTCTCGATCTCTCGACCTCGTGATCCACCCGCCTCGGCCTCCCAAAGTGCTGGGATTACAGGCTTGAGCCACTGTGCCCGGCCTGCACCCATCTTAAGTTCTAATTTTTTTCTATTTTATTGAGACAGTCTCACATTGTCACCCGGGCTGAAGTGCAATGGTGCAGTCTCGACTCACGGTAACCTCCACCTCCTGGGTTCAAGTGATTCTCTTGCCTCATTGAAGGCATCTGCCACCACACCCGGCTAATTTATATATATATATATTTTTTTTTTTCTTTTTTTTTTTTGATTTTTAAATATTTTTAATAGAGGTAGGGTTTCACTATGTTGGCCAGGTTGGTCTTGAACTCCTGACCTCATGATCTGCCCACCTCGGCCTCCCCAAGTGCTGGGATTACAGGGGTGAGCCACCATGCCCAGGTGAATTTTATTTCATCTCATTGAAAATCCAAATACAATTTTAGGAAGGATATACTAAGAGTTTGATAATTCAAGAAGGAGATGTTAAGAAAAAAAAAGAGAAAAAGTTTGATAAAGGGAACTGCGAGTAATATCACAAATTTTTTATTGTTTCTTTAGTATGCAATAGATTTCTTTTTATAAAATTTAATTATCTTGGCCAGGCATGGTGACTCATGCCTGTAATCATAGCACTTTGGGAGGCTGAGGTGGAGGAGCATTTGAGGCTAGGAGTTCAAGACCAGCCTGGCCAACATGGCGAAACCCCATCTCTACTAAAAATACAAAAATTAGGTGGGTGCGGTGGCATGCACCTGTAATCTCAGCTACTGGGGAACTTAGGCAGGAGAATCACTTGAACCTGGGAGGCAGGTTGCAGTTGGCCGAGATTGTGCCACTGCACTCTAGCCTGGGCGACAGCGTGATACTCCATCTCAAGAAAAATGTAAGTATTTTTAGTTGTGATAAATTATATTTTCTTATGTTATATTACAGGTTTTTTCCTTAAAAATGAAACCTTTCTAACCTCTTAGTGATTCATTGTGATCTTTGAAAATTTTTATTTGCGTATCTTGGAAGTAATTGTAATTTTTGTCATCTCTTCGCCTTTATTGTTTAGTCCAAAAGAAACTCTTCCTTCAAAACCTGTGAAGAAAGAGAAGGAACAGAGGACACGTCACTTACTCACAGACCTTCCTCTCCCTCCAGAGCTCCCTGGTGGAGATCTGTCTCCCCCAGACTCCCCAGAACCAAAGGCAATCACACCACCTCAGCAACCATATAAAAAGAGACCAAAGTGAGTTTTTGGACGAGTCTATCTTTCATGATAGTTTTCTTCCTTCCTTTTGAACTAAATCTCTCATGTGTCTTCTGTAACCCACACCAGTAAGATCATAGAAATTTGGTCCTAAAGTATACTTTTTATTTTATTTTAATGGAAGAAAGCCTTCCTTGGAGACCTGGCCATTCATCTGTGCCCTCAGATACCCAGCTGTGTTTTTAGAATGACAGTAAATTCCCAAATCCAGATATACTATGAACATTTATCTCGTATCTTTTTTTTTTTTTTTTTTTGAGATGGAGTTTCGCTCTTCTTACCCAGGCTGGAGTGCAATGGCGCGATCTTGGCTCACCGCACCCTCCGCCTCCTGGGTTCAGGCAATTCTCCTGCCTCAGCCTCCTGAGTAGCTGGGATTACAGGCACACGCCACCATGCCCAGCTAATGTTTTGTATTTTTAGTAGAGATGGGGTTTCACCATGTTGACCAGGATGGTCTCGATCTCTTGACCTCGTGATCCACCCGCCTCGGCCTCCCAAAGTGCTGGATTACAGGCATGAGCCACTGTGCCCGGCTTCATATCTTTTTTATTCATAATATTTAGACTAAGGAAGAATAAAAGCTTTTAAAATTCAGGATGTGTCAGTCATATACACATTAATGAAAAATTAATAGATGTGGGATTTTTTTCCCCTGAAAACATATAAATTGCCATGCCATAAATATAGTATAATCTGGGTCTAATCTGATTGTTAGCATTTCTCTGTTAATAATAAAAAGTTACTTATTGAGCACATATTATTGCTATAGTTTTTTTCTTTGTTTTTATTGCCATAGTTTTATATTTTATTTTCATAGTCGCCTTAGCATGTAGCAATTAATTCCCGCCCCCCTCTTTTTTTTTTTTTGAGAAGGAGTTTTGTTCTTATTGCCCAGGCTGGAGTGCAGTGACGTGGTCTCGGCTCACCGAAACCTCTGCCTCCTGGGTTCAAGCCTCAGCCTCCTTAGTAACTGAGATCACAGGCGTGCACCACCATGTCTGGTTAATTTTTTATTTTCAGTCGAGAGAGATTTTTCTAGATTGGTCAGGCTGGTCTGGAACTCCTGACCTCAAGTTATCTGCGCACCTTGGCCTCCCAAAGTGTTGGATTATAGGCATGAGCCACTGTGCCCTGCAAATTCCCATTTTATAATTGAAGCCATACCTGAGAGAGGTCAGAAAGCAAACAGCAAATTTATTATTTCATATTACGTCTTCCTAAGGCTCCAACCCTGTGGCTTAGCCACTGTGGGAGACTGTTTTCGTTTGTTTTTTTTTTTTTTGAGATGCAGTCTCTGTTGCCCATGCTGGAGTACAGTGGTATGATATTGGCTCATTGCCTCCACCTCCTGGGTTGAAACGATTTTCTTGCCTCAGTCTCCTGAGTAGCTGGGATTATAAGTGCACACCACCATGCTTGGTTAATTTTTGAATTTTTATTAGAGACAGGATTTCACCATGTTGGTGAGATTGGTCTCAAACTCCTGACCTCGTGATTCACCCACCCCGGCCTTCCAAAGTACTGGGATGACAGACGTGAGCCACCACGCTTGACCTGTATTTGTATTTTATGTCGTGTCTTTATATATTTCTGCTTTTTTAGTAAAATGTATAAAAGATACAGGAGTTAGTGAAATTATCATAAAAGAATTATTTCTTTTTTGACTAAATTTCATTTTCTTCTTTTTTGTTGTTTTTACGTTTTAGAATTTGTTGTCCTCGTTATGGAGAAAGAAGACAAACAGAAAGCGACTGGGGGAAACGCTGTGTGGACAAGTTTGACATTATTGGAATTATTGGAGAAGGAACCTATGGTCAAGTATATAAAGCCAAGGACAAAGACACAGGTAAATATTGCCACAATATTTTAGGTGTCAGAATGTTAACAATTTAGCAATACTAATATCTTAAGTGGATTTAGCAAAAGTAAATTCTGAGGTTTTTTTTGTTTTTGTTTTTGTTTTTGTTATTTTGAGACAGAGTCTTGCTCTGTCATCCAGGTTGGAGTACAGTGGTGTGATCTCGGCTCACTGCAACCTCCACCTCCTGGGTTCAAGCAATTCTCCTGCCTCCACCTCCTGGGTAGCTAGAATTACAGGCATATGCCACCACACGTAGCTAATTATTTTATTTTTAGTAGAGATGGGATTTCACCATGTTGGTCAGGCTGGTCTTGAACTCCTGACCTTGTGATCTGCCCACCTTGGCCTCCCAAAGCGCTGGTATAACAGGCGTGAGCCACAGTGCCTGGCTTTTTTTCATTTTTATTTTTTTGAGATGGAGTCTCACTTTTTTTTTTTTTTATTTTTTATTTTTTTTTTGAGACGGAGTTTCGCTCTTGTTACCCAGGCTGGAGTGCAATGGCGCGATCTCGGCTCACCGCAACCTCCGCCTCCTGGGCTCAGGCAATTCTCCTGTCTCAGCCTCCTAAGTAGCTGGGATTACAGGCACGTGCCACCATGCCCAGCTAATTTTTTGCACCTTTAGTAGAGACGGGGTTTCACCATGTTGACCAGGATGGTCTCGATCTCTCGACCTCGTGATCCACCCGCCTCGGCCTCCCAAAGTGCTGGGATTACAGGCTTGAGCCACCGCGCCCGGCGAGTCTCACTCTTTTATCCAGTCTGGAGTGCAGTGGCTCAATCTCTGCTCATTGCAGGCCCTTCCTCCCGGGTTCAAGTGATGCTCCTGCCTCAGTCTCCCGAATATTTGGTATTACAGGCATGCGCCACCACGCCCAGCTAATTTCTGTATTTGTAGTAGAGATGGGGTTTCACCATATTTGCCAGGCTGGTCTCTAACTCCAGGCTTGTCTCGAACTCCTGACCTCAAATGATCCGCTTGCCTTGGCGTCCCAAAGTACTAGGATTACAGGTGTAAGCTGCCACACCAGGCCAATTTTTTCTTGAGATGAAGTTTGGCTTTTTTAAATTTTTAGACAGAGTCTTGCTCTGTCAGCCAGGCTGGAGTACAGTGGCACAGTTTCAGCTTACTGCAACCTCCGTCTCCCAGGCTCTAGCAATTCTCCTGCCTCAGCCTCCCAAGTAGCTAGCATTACAGGTGTATGCCACCACGTCTGGCTAATATTTGTATTTTTAGTAGAGATGGGGTTTTAACCATGTTGGCCAGGCTGGTCTCCAACTCCTGACCTCAGGTAATCCACCCACCTTGGCCTCTCAAAGTGCTGGGATTAAAGGTGTGAGCCATCGTGCCCGGCTGGAGTTTGGCTTTTGTTGCCCAGGCTGGAGTGCAATGGTGAGATTTTGGCTCACTGCACCCTCCGACTCCTGGGTTCAAGCAATTCTCCTGCCTCAGCCTCCCAAGTAGCTGGGATTATAGCCATGCGCTAGCACGCCCGGCTAATTTTTCTTTATTTTAGTAGAGACAGGGTTTCTCCATGTTGGCCAGGCTGGTCTTAAATTCCCGACCTCAGGTGATCCGCCTGCCTTGGCTTCCCAAAGTCCTGGGATTACAGGTGCGAACCACTGCACCTGGCCCCAGCCAAATTTTTAGTTTTAATTTGGTCTCCAAAAGTTATTAAGTAGATGAAAGTTTTCCAAAAGAAAACCATAACTTTTTTTTTTTTTTTTTTGAAATGGAGTCTTGCTCTGTAGCTTAGGCTGGGGTGCAGTGGTATAATCTCAGCTCTGCCTCCTGGGTTTAAGCAATTCTCCTGCCTCAGCCTCTTGAGTAGCTGGGATTACAGGTGCACACCACCATGCCTGGCTAATTTTTGTATTTGTAGTAGAGACAGGGTTTCACCATGTTGGTCAGACTGGTCTTGAACTCCTGACCTTGTGATCTGCCTGCCTCGGCCTCCCAAAGCGCTGGGATTACAGGCATGAGCCACTGTGCCTGGCCAAGAACACTGTAACTTTTAAAACTCTCTCGCCGGATACAGTGGCCTGTAATCCCCTCACTTTGGGAGGCCAAGGCAGGCAGATCGCGAGGTCAGGAGATCAACATCATCCTGGCTAACACGATGAAACCCCGTTTCTACTAAAAATACAAAAAATTAGCTGGGCTATAGTCTCAGCTACCGGGAGGCTGAGGCAGCAGAATCACTTGGACCTGGGAGGCAGAGGTTGCAGTGAGCTGAGATTGGGCCATTGCATTCTGGCCTGGGTGACAGAGCAAGACTCTGTCTGTCTCAAAAGAAAAACAACAACTATATGGTTCATCCAAAATATTTCATAGCTTCCTGGGAATTTTAAGGGAGGGTAAAAATAAAATTTGTAGATTGCTATTTGCTTTGTAAGGAGGAAATCCTCGAAGGTAACATTGAAGTATTTGTGTTACTGCTATATTTTAATAACAGGCCTGCTGGGCTCAGTGGTTTACACCTATAATCCCAGCATTTGGGGAGGCTGAGGTAGGTGGATCACCTGAGGTTGGGAGTTTGAGAACAGCTGACAAATATAGAGAAACCCCATCTCTAAAATAAATAAATAAATAAATAAAATAAAAATAAAAAATTAGCTATTCTACAAAAATACAAAATTAGGCCAGGGTAGAGTGGCTCATGTCTGTAATCCCAGCACTTTGGGAGGCTTAGGTGGGTGGATCACCTGAGGTTGGGAGTTCGAGACCAGCCTGACGAATATGGACAAATGCTGTCTCTAAAAAATAAATAAAAATTAGCTGGGCGTGGTAGTGTGCACCTGTAATTCCAGCTACTTGGGACTCTGAGGCAGGAGAATCTCTTGAACCCAGGAGGCGGAGGAAGAGTCCATCTCAAAAAAATAAAAATAAGGCCGGGTGTGGTAGCTCATGCCTGTAATCCCAGCACTTTGGGAGGCTGAGGCAGGTGGATCACAAGGTCAGGAGTTCACAACCAGCCTGACCAAGATGCTGAAACCCCATCTTTACTAAAACTATAAAAATTAGCTGTGAGCGGTGGCGGGCGCCTGTAATCCCAGCTACTTGGGAGCCTGAGGCAGGAGAATTGCTTGAACCTGGGCGGTAGAGGTTGCAGTGAGCCAAGATAGTGCCACTGCACGCCAGCCTAGGCCACAGAGCAAGACTCTGTCTCAAATAAATAAATATAATAATAATAATAAATAAAAATAACTGAAAGACCTCCCTGAATATTGAATTAAAAGTTATTTCCATGTCTTGAGAAAAAAATAAAGACGAGAAAGGGAATATAGAGTTTTTTTGTTGTTGTTGTTTTTGTTTTGTTTTGGTTTTTTGTTTTTGTTTTTGAGAAGGAGTCTCACTTTGTTGCCCAGGGTAGAATGCCATGGCTGGATCTTGGCTCGCCACAGCCTCCGCCTCCCCGGTTCAGGCGATTCTTTTTTTCTTAGCCTCCAGAGTAGCTGGGATTACAGGCATCCAACACCACGCACGGCTAATTTTTGTATTTTAGTAGAGACGTGGTTTTACTACATTGGCTAGGCTGGTCTCCATCTCCTGACCTTAGATGAGCCACTTGCCTTGGCCTCCCAAAGTGCTGGGATTACAGGTGTGAGCCACTGCACCCGGCCTAGAGTTTACTTTTTAAAGGTGTAAAAGTATCTTATATGTAAGCATTAAAGTAGGCATTAAGTTTGTCTTCTAGAGCAAGGGCATATATTGCTAGTTCACAATAGCGGCCAAAAATGCTCATTGATAATAAAAGTTTACATTTGTTTTGGCAGGAGAACTAGTGGCTCTGAAGAAGGTGAGATTAGACAATGAGAAAGAGGGCTTCCCAATCACAGCCATTCGTGAAATCAAAATCCTTCGTCAGTTAATTCACCGAAGTGTTGTTAACATGAAGGAAATTGTCACAGATAAACAAGATGCACTGGATTTCAAGAAGGACAAAGGTACTAGCAAAGACATACATTTTTACCAGGAAGACTGTTCCTATCCTTGCCTTTTTTTTTGAGACAGAGTCTCGCTCTGTCGCCTAAGCTGGAGTGCAGTGGCACAGTCGTGGCTCACTGCAACCTCTGCCTTCCATGTTCAAGCAATTCTCCTGCCTTAGCCTCCTGAGTAGCTGGGATTACAGGCATGTGCTACCACATTCAGCTAATGTTTTTGTAGTTTTAGTGGAGATGGCATTTCACCATGTTGGTCAGGCTGGTCTGGAACTCCTGACTTGGTGATGATCCTCCTGCCTCAGCCTCCGAAAGTTTTTTTCTTTCTTATTTGTCTCTTCATTTTGAGACAGAGTCTTGCACTGTCACCCAGGCTGGAGTGCAGTCGTTGATGTCAGCTCACTGCAACTTCTCCCTCCCAGGTTTAAGTGATTTTCGTGCCTCAGCCCTCCAAGTAGCTGCAATTGCAGGCGTGTGCCATCATGCCTGGCTAATTTTTGTATATGTAGTAGAGTGGGGGTTTTGCCATGTTAGCCAGGCTGGTCTCAAACTCCTGACCTAAAGTGATCCTCCCGCCTCAGCACCCCGAAGTGCTGGGATTACAAGTGTGAGCCACCATGCCTGGCCTCATTTTTTTTTTTTTTTTTTTTTTTGAGACGGAGTTTCCCTCTTGTTACCCAGGCTGGAGTGCAATGGCGCGATCTCGGCTCATCGCAACCTCCGCCTCCTGGGTTCAGGCAATTCTCCTGCCTCAGCCTCCTGAGTAGCTGGGATTACAGGCACGCGCCACCATGCCCAGCTAATTTTTTGTATTTTTAGTAGAGACGGGGTTTCACCATGTTGACCAGGATGGTCTCGATCTCTTGACCTCGTGATCCGCCCGCCTCGGCCTCCCAAAGTGCTGGGATTACAGGCTTGAGCCACCGCGCCCGGCCTATTTTTTTTTTTTTTTAATTATAAAATAATAAGTCCATGAACGGATATGATACATGCATGCCTTTCATGGGAAAATTGAAAATATAAAAGAAGAAGAAAAAGAAGATGGTAGTAATTTCTCTGTCACTTCTTCCCAGTATACTACCATCCATGGAAAACCACTAAAGTATTAATATTAACATTTTGGAATATTTGCTTTTAGTCCTTTTTTTTTTTTTTTTTTTTGAGACAGAGTTCTCACTGTCTCACCCAGGCTGGAGTACAATGGCTCAGTCTCAGCTCACTGCAGCCTCCCACTCCCAGGTTCAAGTGATACTCCTGCCTTGGCCTCCCAGGTAGCTGGGATTACAGGCACATGTGACCATGCCTGGCTAAATTTTGTAATTTTAGTAGAAATCCCTCTCTAGTAAAAATGTGAAAATTTGCTGGGCATGGTGCTGGGCCCCTTTGATCATAGCTACTGGGAAGGCTGAGGCAGAAGAATTGCTTGAACCTGGGAGGTAGAGGTTGCAGTGAGCCGAGATTGTGCCACTGCGCTCCAGACCAGGCAACAGAGCCCATCTCAAAAAAAAAAAAAAAAAAAAAAAAAAAAACAACAACAATTATCGTCTGGATAGGTTAAGCATAATATTATTATTTCGTATTTTAATTTAATTTTTTGAGACAGGGTCTCACTGTGTTGCCCAGGCTGGAGTACAGTGGTGATCACAACTTACTGCATCCTCAACCTCCAGTTTCAAGGGATCCTTCATGCCTCAGCCAGCCTACTGATTAGCTGGGACAACAGGCATGTACTACCACACACAGCTGATTTTTCTGTTTTTGGTAGGAATGAGATCTCTTATGTTGCCCAGGCTGGTCTCTAACTGCTGGGCTCAAGCAGTCTGCTCGCCTTGGCCTCCTAAAGTGCTGGAATTACAGATTTGAGCCACCACACCCAGCCAATGTCATTTTAGATTATATTTGTTATATTTTTAGTTTTTTCCATGTTACTGGTTTTATTTACTTTCTCTCTCTCTCTCTCTCTCTCTCTCTCTCTCTTTCTCTTTCTCTTTCTCTCTTTTGAGGCAGTGTCTTGCTGTGTTACCCAGGCTGGAGTGCAGTGATAAGATCACAGCTCACTGTAACTTTGCACTCCTGGGTTCAAATGATCCTCCTGCCTCAGCCTCCCAAGTAGCTAGACTAGACACCACTCGTGGTTAGTTTTTAAAAATTTTGGGTAGAGACAGGATCTTTCCATGTTGCCCAGCCTGGTCTTGAACTCTGGGCATCAAGCAGTCCTCCTGCTTTGGCCTACTAGATTGCTGGGATTATAGGCATGAGCCAACATACCTGGTCTCTTTTGAGGTCCTTTGCTTACATATCTTTTGCATTTCTAGTGCTTTTCTTAGTAATTTGAGGTCTTAGCTAAATCTCTCCAAGATATTTCTTCTTTTCTAAATCTTTTGTCGATAGAATCTTGCTGTCTCACCCAAGCTAGAGTACATTGGTGCAGTCACAGCTTACTGTAGCCTCGAACTCCTGGGCTCAAAGATTCTCAACTGCTGGGAAGGCTGGACCTCCCAAATAGCTGGGACTACAGCCATGTACCATCTCACCTAGCTAATTTTTTTTTTTTTTTAGACGGAGTTTCACTCTTGTTACCCAGGCTGGAGTGCAATGGCGCGATCTTGGCTCACCGCAACCTCCGCCTCCTGGGTTCAGGCAATTCTCCTGCCTCAGCCTCCTGAGTAGCTGGGATTACAGGCACGCACCACCGTGCCCAGATAATTTTTTGTATTTTTAGTAGAGAAGGGGTTTCACCATGTTGACCAGGATGGTCTCGATCTCCTGACCTCGTGATCCACCTGCCTCGGCCTCCCAAAGTGTTGGGATTACAGGCGTAAGCCACTGCGCCCGGCCTCACCTAGCTAATTTTTAAATTTTTTTGTGGAGATGGTGTCTCACTATTTTGCCCAGTCTGGTTTTTAAAACTCAGGCAATCTTCTCACCTCATTCTCCCAAAATGCGTGGATTGTAGGTATGAGCCACCGCACACAGCCCTAAATTTAACAGATTGAATTCATTGATTTGTTTTTCTCTCAATTCATAAGTACTATGATTTTCTTTCTCTTTTTTTGAGATGGAGGCTTACTGTTTTTTCCCTGGCTGGAGTGCAGTGCTGCGATCTTGGCTTACTGCAGCCTCCACCTCCTGGGTTCAAGTGATTCTCCTGCCTCAGACTTCTGAGTAGCTGGGATTATAGGCGCCTGCCACCACGCATGCCTGGCTAATTTTTGTATTTTTAGTAAGAGATGGGGTTTCACCTGTTGGCCAGGCTGGTCTTAAACTCCTCACTTTGGGTGATGGGTGTGCCTTGGCCTCCCAAAGTGCTGAGATTACAAGCATGAGCCACCATGTCCGGCTGTGAATTTCACTAATAATTTATGACATATTTATTGTGCTATCCCTGGGATAGTGAGTCCCTTTAACTTGTATAAAACCCTTTACAAAACTGCTCGTGAATAATATGTAATAAATGGGCATGGTTGTGTTAGAAATACAACTTCACTTATAGCAACAAGCAGCTGGCTGGCTCTGGTCTAAGGTCTGTAATTTGGTAATTGACGTAGGTCATTAAAGTCTAGTAAGACATGCTGAGCACAGTGGCTTATGCCTCTAACCTCAGCACTTTGGGATATCAGGGCAGAAGGATTGCCTGAGCCCAAGAGTTAGAGACCAGCCTGGGTACCGTAGCAAGATCCTGTCTCTACCAAAAATGAAAAACATTGAATGTGGTGGCATGTGCCTGTAGTCCCAGCTACTTGAGAGGCTGAGGTGGAAGGTTCGGTTGAGCCCAGGAGTTTGAGGCTGCAGTGAGCCGTGATCATGCTACTGCACTCTAGCCTGTGCAACAGAATGAGACCTTGTCTCAAAAAAAAAGAAAGAAAAAAGCCTGGGTGCAGTGGCTTAAGCTTGTAATCCCAGCACTTTGGGAAGCTGAGGTGGGCAGATCACCTGAGGTCAGGAGTTCGAGACCAGCCTGACCAACATGGTGAAAATGTATCTACTAAAAATAGAAAAACTAGCTTGGCATGGTGGCACATGCCTGTAATCCCAGCTACTTGGGAAGCTGAGGCAGGAGAATCACTTGAATCCAGAAGGTGGAGGTTTCAGTGAGCCGAGATTGTGCCACTGTTCTCTAGTCTGGATGGTAGAGTGAGAGTCTGTCTCAAAACAAACAAACAAACAAAAGCAAGAAAAAAAAGTCTAGTAGTGCAGCCTGATCAGGGCAGTTGCCCCGTGAAGAGTAAGTAGTCCATGCAGTAGTACTAGACTAGGAATCAGAAGATTAATTCCTTTTTTTTTTTTTTTTTTTTTTTTTTTTGGAGAATGAGTCTTGCTTTGTTGCCCAGGCTACAATGTAGTGGTGCCATCTCAGCTCACTGCAACCTCTGGCTCTTGGGTTCAAGTGATTCTTCCACCTCAGCCTCCCAAGTCGGTGGGATTACAGGCTCATGCCACCATGCCTGCCTAATTTTTGTATTTTTTTTTAGTCGAGATGGGATTTTCACCATGTTGAGCCAGGCTGGTCTTGAACTCTTGACTGCAAGTGATCCGCCCTCCTTTGCCTCCCAAAGTGCTGGGATTACCAGCCACAGAAGATTAGTTCAAATATTAGCTCTGTTATTTTTTACTAAGAAGGACTAATTCTTCAACTACTCTTAGTTTCACTTTCTTCATCTATAAAATTTAAGGGTTTTTTCTAGAGAGTCTAAAGTCAACTCCAAAATTATAATAGGACTTGAAACATTGTTTTTCAGCATTCTTTTTTTTTTTTTTTTTTTTTTTTGCTTCCTTTTAATTTTTTTTTTTTTTCATCTTACGTAGGTGCCTTTTATCTTGTATTTGAGTATATGGACCATGACTTAATGGGACTGCTGGAATCTGGTTTGGTGCACTTTTCTGAGGACCATATCAAGTCGTTCATGAAACAGCTGATGGAAGGATTGGATTACTGTCACAAAAAGAATTTCCTGCATCGGGATATTAAGTGTTCTAACATTTTGCTGAATAACAGGTAACATAGTAACCAAATAAGGTTACACACTTTCCTCTTCTCCTCCTATGCTTTTCAGTTTCAAATTGTTAATTAGACCTAATATTGCAGTATTCACACACACATTGAGTTTTCAGTGATATTCCCTGTGTTCAATGTGGGAGAAACATGCCTGCTTCTTTAGCTGTTCTTTAGCATTTCTCAGTTGCTAGCTTTCTTTTTTTTTTTTTGAGACGAAGTTTTGTTCTTATTACCCAGGCTGGAGTGCAATGGCACGATCTCGGCTCACGGCAACCTCTGCCTCCTGGGTTCAAGCAATTCTCCTGCCTCAGCCTCCTGAGTAGCTGGGATTACAGGCACGTGCCACCATGCCCAGCTAATGTTTTGTATTTTTAGTAGAGATGAGGTTTCGCCATGTTGACCAGGATGGTCTCGATCTCTTGACCTCGTAATCCACCCGCCTCGGCCTCCCAAAGTGCTGGGATTACAGGCTTGAGCCACTGCGCCCTGCTAGTTGCTAGCTTTCTGAATAAACCTTGGTGTGTGGTTGATGATTGGCCTATCCTGCCCAGTACATACTCCTAGGTTTTAATAGCGTAAACAAGCAGGAATCTGGTGATGAAACAGGTGTTAATTCATCAGAAGCTTTTATCATCTGCTTTCTTTTCTGTTTGCTTGCTTGTACTGCATTGGTAATATCAGATGTATTATGCACACTAGTATTTTTTTTTTTTTGAGACAGAGTTTCGCTCTTGCTACCCAGGCTGGAGTGCAATGGCACAATCTCGGCTCACCGCAACCTCTGCCTCCTGGGTTCAGGCAATTCTCCTGCCTCAGCCTCCTGAGTAGCTCAGATTACAGGCATGTGCCACCATGCCCAGCTACTTTTTTGTATTTTTAGTAGAGATAGGGTTTCACCATGTTGACCAGGATGGTCTCGATCTCTTGACCTCGCGATCCACCCGCCTCGACCTCCCAAAGTGCTGGAATTACAGGCTTGAGCCACCGCGCCTGGCCTGTTTTTTTTTTTTTTTTTTTTTTTTGAGACGGAGTTTCGCTCTTGTTACCCAGGCTGGAGTGCAATGGCGCGATCTCGGCTCAGCACAACCTCTACCTCCTGGGTTCAGGCAATTCTCCTGCCTCAGCTTCCTGAGTAGCTGGGATTACAGGCATGTGCCACCATGCCCAGCTAATTTTTTATATTTTTAGTAGAGACAGGGTTTCACCATGTTGACCAGGATGGTCTCGATCTCTTGACCTCATGATCCACCCGCCTCGACCTCCCAAAGTGCTGGGATTACAGGCTTGAGCCACCGCGCCCGGCCACACTAGTTTTTTTTAATAGTCCTACTTGCTGAGTGGTAAAGAACAAGTCTGGTACCATTTAAATTAGTGAAGTTTTGGCTGGGCGTGGTGGCTCACACCTGTAATCCCAGCACTTTGGGAGGCTGAGCTGGGCATATCACTTGAGGTCGGGAGTTCCAGATCAGCCTGATCAACATGGAGAAACCCTGTCTCTACTAAAAATACAAAATTATCCAGGCATGGTGTGCATGCCTGTAATCCTAACTACTATGGAGGCTAAGGCAGGAGAATCGCTTGAACCCTGGAGCCGGATGTTGCAGTGAGCCAAGATTGTGCCATTGCACTCCAGCCTGGGCAACAACAGTGAAACTCTGTCTCAAAAAAAGAAAAAGTAAATTAAGGAAGTGTTTAGTTCTTTAGGTAATTAGGTTGGTTACATCTATTTTTGTCTGATTCACTCATTGTTTTAAACATTTCCGTTTAGTTTAACAAACATTACATAGGAACATGGAATGATATGACACATCTCCTCTCTTTATGGAGTAGAATAACCTCATTCATGGTTACCTGGGACTGGTTTTAGTGCTGAAAGTCTCACATAAGATGATTGAACACTGCAATCCAATCATTTTTCTTTGTAGGAAAAATAAACAAATAAATGACTCATTTTAATAAGCATTTATTAAGCTCAATTTTTTCCCCTGGAATTTGAGAGTACCTGAAAAGATGTAGCCTTGAGGGGTGAATAAGAATTTACCTGAAAAACTGACAGTGGGTAATCAAATTTCTAGGCAGAAGAAGCTGCACACACAAAAGCACATAAACCTGAAAATAACACATTATGTCTGGAAAACTTAAACAGGTCAGTATATCTAGAGCAAGAAGAAGCAAGCACATAGTGGCCTAGAGATGAAGCTGAGTAGTTACATGGAGCCCATTTATGGATCTAGTATGCCCCACTGAGGAACTTAAACTTTATCTGTATTTGTCACGGATCAGCATTGCTTGAACCTGGGAGGTGGAGGTTGCAGTGAGCTGAGATCTAACCACTACACTCCAGCTCAGGCAACAGAGCAAGACTCCATATCAAAAAAAGAAATAATCTTAGAGTCTTGATCTGTCAGGCTGGAGTACAATGGCATGATCTCACTGCTGCTTCCCAGGTTCAAGCTATTCTCCTGCCTCAGCCTCCCTAGCTGGGATCACAGGCACGTACCACCACACCCAACTAATTTTTGAATTTTTAGTTGAGACAGGGTTTCATTGTGTTGGCCAGGGTGGTCTTGATCTCCATACCTTGTGATCCACCCACCTTGGTCTCCCAACATGCTGGGATTGCAAGCAGGAGCTACCGTGCCCAGCCAAAATTATTACTTCATGTTGCTTTCTCTGACTTATAATTACCAGTAAAGTTGGAGGTTGGTGACTGCATCTAGAGTAAATAATGCATCAAGAACTTAATGGCTATTAGCTTTCAGCTTTCTGGCCTGTAGTGTAATATACTTTTGGCTGTTCCCTTTACTCCTCCATGAGGAGATGTGTTAAAGCAGGGAGTAATTGCAGCTCAGTTTGGTGTTCTTTCTGGTGGTTAAGGCCTTTTGGTTCTTGACTTTCCAGAGTCAAAGCTGATGAGGTTCCAGATTAAATTGAACTTCCTCCTCAGGTTGCTAAGCAGGATACAGGAATCACACAGTTTAGCCTGATCCATCCAGCCTATTCAGAGACCTCTGGATGAGATGGCCTGGAAAAAATGGTGAAGGGTTGTCAGCTGGGCAAAGAAGAGAGAGAGCAGTTGGCGGGAGGGAGGGGGGGAGGGAGGGGGGGAGAGAGAGAGAGAGAGAGAGAGAGAGAGAAGCAGAGTTAGATTCCACAATGTTCATTATATTTTAATTACAAAGTATAAATGAGACCAAGTCATTTTATATAGAGGATAGACATAGTCAACCTTCTGTTTTGGAAAGGTCAAAAATTATCACCTTATGCTGATAAACTGGAGGCAGAGAGACCTACTAAGAATGTCATAAGAAGTGGTCAGGGCTTGAAATAACCCAGATACTACTAGTAGGGATGGACTTGATAGAACAGTAGACTTTGGGTGAGTGAGTGAATAGTAGATAATGAATTAAAGTAAGATAACTCACAGGTTTCTGACTTCAAAAACTAGCTAGATGGGTGGCACTACTAATCAATACAAGGAAGACAGAAGGAAGAGTAGGATGGATGTGGTAAGAGGCAAATCCCTTTTAGATATCTCTTTTATATATCCAGGACAGTGATATTTAATAGCATATGGTCATTTGGGAGTTCCAAACTACCAGTACAGATTTGGTAGGTACTGAGCGTGTAAAAGATGTCAGAAATGTAACCCAAGAGAAATGGTCAGAGAGAGGAAGAAAATACGGAAAATATGAATGCAAGATAGGCAAGTTTAAAAAGGGAGTGATCATTGATATCAGATGATGCAGGAAAATTATAAAAGAATCTGAAAATTAAAAGGTCAGTGGTCAAAGTGTGGAGTAAGGGGATGAGTAGCAGAATGGAAAGGTAGTAGTAGGGAGTGTCTTTAATATTTAAGGATGGCAGAAATTTGAATATATTTAAATGCTAAGAGGAGGCCAGTGTGGTGGCTCAGGTGTAATCCTAACACTTTGGGAGGCCGAGGTGGGTGGGTCACTTGATGCTAGGAGTTCCAGACCAGCCTGGCCAACATAGCAAAATGCTGTCTCTACTAAAAGTATAAGAATTAGCTGAGTTTGGTGGTGCACACCTCTAATCCTAGCTATGTGGGAGGCCAAGCCATGAGAATTGCTTTAACCTGGGACATGGAGGTTGCAGTGAGCAGAGATCATGCCAGAGCACTCCAGCCTCGGTGACAGAGCGAGACCCTATCTAAAAAAGAAACAAAAAAATGATAAGGGGAAAGAAAATCTATAAAAAGATTTGGGAAAGAACCAACATAATTTAAAGGAGCAAGGTTCTAGAATAGATGGGGTCAAGGCCACAGGTGGAGGGATTGGTTATCCTTGGTCAAGAAAAGAGATTGACTTAGGTTTTATGTACCAGTGACCCTTGAACAACATGGGTTTGAACTGTGGTGTGTCTACTTATACACAGATTTTATCCAAACCAAGACAAATAAAAAACATTGCATGGTCGCTCACGCCTCTAATCCCAACACTTTGGGAGGCAAAGGTAAGCAGATCACCTAAGGTCAGGAGTTTGAGATCAGCTTGACCAACATGGAGAAACCCCGTCTCCACTAAAAATACAAAATTAGCCGGGTGTGGTGGAGCATGCCTGTAATCCCAGCTACTCTGGAGGCTGAGGCAGGAGAATCGCTTGAACCCAGGAGGCAGAGGTTGCAGTGAGCCAAGATCGCACCATTGCACTCCAGCCTTAGCAACAAGAGCAAAACTGTCTCAAAAAACAAAACAAAACAAAACAGCTTTTGCAGTATATATATGGAGTACCAGTGTTTTATATATGCCGGTTCTGTAGAGCCTACTGCAGGACTTGAATTTGCTTGAATTTTGGTGTATGTGGGAGTCTTGGAAACAATCCCCTGCATATACTGAGGGATAACTGTAATTGAAAGGAAAGAGGAAAGTAAGATTATAGATGCAATTAAATGTATTGGTAAAAGATAGGATGTTAAGGACTTGTCACCTAATTAATTTTTTTCACTGAAAAAGATCATTTATGAAGTAAACATAACTGGGTAGAGCATGAATTAGAGCATTAAGGAGAATGCCAGAGGTCTGTAATGAGAGTCATGGGGAATAGAAGTTGCTGATTATAGACAAGTAAAAGGACAAAGCAGCAGCATTCAGGAATTAACAAAGAGAGGAAATCACACATTTTGCAGTGGCACCAAACAATATGATTCGTGTGTGTGTGTGTGTGTGTGTGTGTGTGTGTTTAGATGGAGTCTTGCTCTGTCACCTAGGCTGAAGTGCAGTGATGCAGTCTCGGCCCACTGCAACCTCCACCTCCCAGGTTCAAGTGACTCTCCTGCCTCAGCCTCCCGAGTAGCTAGGGTTACAGGCATCCCCACCACGCCTGGCTAATTTTTGTGTTTGTAGTAGAGACGGGGCTTTACCATGTTGGCTAGTTTCGAACTCCTGACTTCGTGATCTGCCGTCCTCGGCCTCCCAGAGTGTTGGGATTAAAGGTGTGAGCCATCGTGCCCAGGTGGTTTTGTTTTTCTTTTTGTTTGTCTTTGTTTTTTGAGATCGAGTCTCATTCTGTCACTCAGGCCTGGAATGCAGTGGTGAGATTTCAGCTGACTGCAATGTCTACTTCCCAGGTTCAAGCAGTTAGTCTGTCTTAGCCTCCCAAGTAGCTGGGAGTATAGGTGCATGCCATCACGCCCATCTAATTTTTGTATTTTTAGTAGAGACGGGGTTTCACCATGTTGGCCAGGCTGGGTCTCAAACCTCTGATCTCAAGTGATCTGCCCACATCAGCCTCCCTCGGTGCTGGGAATACACGTGTGAGCCACTACATCTGGCCAATTATATGATTTTTATTCCTTACACTTGTGTTCAGCTCTCTAGGTTGAAGGTAGAGCAGAAAAGGCATATTTTCTAATGATCCAAAATTAGGGACTTAAGGGATTACCAACCAAGGGATCCAGGCAAGCAAGGGAAGGAAGTACAGTGTGAGAAAGTGCTGAACTGGGAGGGAGTGGAGACACTGTACTTGAAGGTCTTGTTAAAAGGCAAAAATGTTAAACCATGGTCTCAAAAAGACCACATATTTCTATATTCATCTTATTCCTTTGAGACAGGACATAAACAATATAATGGCACTTCTATTTTATTTTATTTATTAATTAATTTTTTTGAGACAGAGTCTCGCTCTGTCACCCAGGCTGGAGTGCAGTGGCACGATCTTGGCTCACTGTAACTTCTGCCTCCTGAGTTTAAGCAGTTCTTCTGCCTCAGCCTCCCGAGTGGCTGGGACTACAGGTGTCTACCACCATGCTCTGCTAATTTTTGTATTTTTAGTAAAGATGGGGTTTCACCACGTTGGCCAAGCTGGTCTCGAACTCTTGACTTAAGTGATCACCTGCCTTGGTCTCCCAAAGTGTTGGGACTACAGGCATGAGGCACTGTACTTGGCTAATTGTATTTTATATTGCAAAAACGTACCAATACTTTCATACTTCATACTGAATCACCATGATGGTTTAGTTGGAATGAAGAGCAGGAGTCAACAGAAGTGCTATCAGGATGTTCTAAAGCAGACTAAATTCATTTAATAAACATTTATTTAGTACCTAGTATGAGCCAGGCAGGAAATGTTAGGTGCTGCTGATATTCAGGTTTACCCTGATTTCTGTAATTATGTATCTGTTGCCATTTTAACTTTCAGTCCTACTATGCGCCTTGAGTCTTGGATCACCTTAGGCTTTCAGAATAAGGATGCCAAGTAATTTGAGGAATCCTCTTGGTCTCAATATAAGTTAACTATTTCTTCACTTTTTGCTTTTCTCAGAATTTAGGTGTTTGGGGCAAGTGGATAAGCTACCTTTTTCTTTACCAGGAATAAGTGTTGATTTAATGTAGAATTTTGTGGCTAGCAGTTACCTTGTTTTAATATTGTCCCACATTCATATTTTGGGAAGCACCTCTTGGCCTCTTTTCTGTACTACATAGTGAGTATCCTGCGTACTTGAGATCAGAATTCTTTGGATTTCAGATTTTTTCAGATTTTGGGATGTTTATATTAAGTTAACTGGTTCTGAACATACAAAATCTGAAATATTCCAATGAGCATTTCCTTTGAGTGTCATGTTGGCACTCAAAAAGTTTCAGATTTTGCTTCAGACAGATGGGGAAAAAAAGGTTCTGAAAAATTTTGGATTTCAGATTTTTGGATTTGGATGTGTAATCTGTATCTCATTTTTTTGCCTAATCAGAGCTATTGGACACCTACACCAGCCTCCTGTAAGAGAGTGAGCTGGGTTTTCATGCCCCAAGAGGTAGCAAGGCTGTAAATATGACTAAAGAGGTTACATGAATTTAGATAAGTGTCATTAAATCAAACTAATTAATAAATAGTTGTTGGGTTTTTTTGTGTGTGTTGCGCACCCTCTCCAGTAAATAAAAAGTTTTTAAATAGATTCCCAACATTTTGTGTTGTAGTTTTTTAAAATATTCTTTCATTCAGGAGGAGGGAGAGCATCAGGAAAAATAGCTAATGCCTGCTGGGCTTAATACTTAGGTGATGGTTCGACAGGTGCAGCAAACCACCATGGCATAAGTTTTTTGTTTTTTTTTCTGGATGGCACAGATTTACCTATGTAACAAACCTGCACGTGTACCTTGGAACTTAAAAAAAAAATTTTCTTTCTATCACTGTCAAGGATAGACTACTGAGCCGAGGTCAGTCATGGTGGCCCACACCTGTACTCCCAGCCCTTTGGGAGGATGAGGAGGGAGGATCTCTTAAGCACAGGAATTTGAGGCCAGCCTGGGCAACATAGGGGAACCCTGTCTTTACAAAAAATAAAAAAAATAATAACTGGGCATAATGATGTATGCCTGTAGTCCCAGCTACTCAGGAGACTGAAACTGGAGAACTGCTTGAACCCAGGAGATCGTCAAGGCTGCAGTAAGCCAGGATTGCACTATTGCACTCCAGTCTGGGTAATAGAGGGAGACTGACTTAAAAAAAAAAAAATTACTGAGCAGAGTGAAACATGGTTGGGATTTCCTTGAAGTGATTCTCAAAGTATGATTCTCAGACCAGCTGCATTGACATCACATGTGGGCTTGTTAGAAATGACTCATGAGCCATGTCCTGTTGAGTCAGCATCTCTAAAATTGGGGCCCAGGAAACTGGATTTGTTTTTGCTGTTTTTTTTCAGAGATGGGGTCTTGCTCTGTTGCTGAGGCTGGAGTGCAGTGTCCTCCCAAAGTTCTGGGATTACAGGTGTAAGCCACCATGCCCAGCCTGTTTGGCCTCTTAAATTTTTCTCAATCTAGAACAGCTCATTTCTTTTTTTCCATAAATAAATATTTAATCTAGCAGGTTCTAGGGACTGTTGTTCACCATGAAATAAAAGAAATATTTAGCTAAGGAATCAAATTCAGAAAATGCAATAATAGTGTTTTTTAAAAGCCTAAGGCATTATAACTGAAGTTGTCAAAAAAGGCTTAATTAGGAGGATTGATCATTAAGGGTGGAAGTAATCTTGAACTGGTTATTGTATGAAATTTTTTAAAAAGAAAGAAAAAAGAGTGGAATGAAGAGAGCAAAAGTTAAAATTTATTTTTGTAATTCCTTTAGCTTCTAACTTGGCAGGTGACTTTTAGATGTATTTTGGAGGCCACTGCTATTGCTTATGAAAATAATTGTTTTTCGTTTTACAGCGGGCAAATCAAATTAGCAGATTTTGGACTTGCTCGGCTCTATAACTCTGAAGAGAGGTAAGGCATTAATTAAAATTCCCTGTGGGAAATGGAAAGGTTTTGTTTTCTTTGTTTTTGAGGAAGGGTCTCAGTTTGTTGCTCAGGCTGCAGTACGTGGCGTGATCTTGGGCTCACTGTAGCCTCAACCTCTGTGGGCCTAAGTGATTCTCCCATCTCAGTCTCGCAAGTAGCTGGGATCGCAGGTGGGTGCCACCACACCGAGCTAATTTTTGTATTTTTAGTAGAGTCACGGTTTTGCTGTGTTGCTCAGGCTACTCTTGAACTCATGGGCTCAAGCTGTCTACCCACCTCAACTTCCCAAAGTGCTGGGATTACAAGCATGAGCCACCGCACCTGGCCAAGAATCTTTTTTATTCCTGGATATTCTAGTATTCTGCAAATTGCAGCAATTGTCAGAGTTCCCTAGTTATCTGAAAGTATCACCTCTTAGATTTTAGGCAGTAAATTCTATCTAAATTCTTGAATTGTCTCTTGGCTGGAATAAATTAGAATGGAAGTTATTTCTTTTTTTTCCTTTGTTTGTTTGTTTGTTTTTTGAGACGGAGTCTCACACTTGTTATCCAGGCTGGAGTACAGTGGTTTGATCTCGGCTTGCTGTGGCTGCTGTCTCCTAGGTTCAAGTGATTCTCCTGCCTCAGCATCCAAAATAGCTGGGATTATAGGCGCCCATCACCTACGCCTGGCGAATTTTTTGTATTTTTAGTAGACAGGGTTTCACCATGTTGACTAGGCTAGTCTTGAACTCTGGACCTTAGATGATCTGCCCACCTTGGCTTCCCAGAGTGCTGGGATTATAGGCATGAGCCACTGTGCCTGGCCTTTTTTTTTTTTTTTTTAAATAGAGGTGCAATCTTGCTATGTTGACCAGACTGGTCTTGAACTCCTGATCTCAAATGATTCTCCCCTATAGGCCTCCCAAAGTACTGGGATTATAGGCATGAGTCACCATGCCAGGCCTGGAAGTTATTTCTTCATCTTCTACTTCTAAGTTACTTTTGAAGTGTTAGGCTGCTATGGATTTGTTTTAACAGCCTCATCTTCAATTGGCAGCTATTTCTTTATTTCTTTTTTTTTTTTTTTTTTTTTTTTTGAGACGGAGTTTCGCTCTTGTTACCCAGGCTGGAGTGCAATGGCGCGATCTCGGCTCACCGCAACCTCCGCCTCCTGGGTTCAGGCAATTCTCCTGCCTCAGCCTCCTGAGTAGCTGGGATTACAGGCACACGCCACCATGTCCAGCTAATTTTTTGTATTTTTAGTAGAGACGGGGTTTCACCATGTTGACCAGGTTGGTCTCCATCTTTTGACCTCGTGATCCACCCGTCTCGGCCTCCCAAAGTGCTGGGATTACATCTTTTTTTTTTTTTTTTTTTGAGACAGAGTTTTGCTCTGTCACCAGGGTGGAATGTAGTGGCGCAATCTCAGCTTACTGCAACCTCTGCCTCCCGGGGCTCAAGCTATTCCCCTGCCTCAGCCTCCCAAGTAGCTGGTAGCTGGGACTACAGGCACGTGCCACCACACCCAGATAATTTTTTGTATTTTAGTAGAGATGGGTTGCACCCATGTTGACCAGGATGATCTCAGTCTCCTGACCTGGTGATCCACCTGCATTGGCCTTCCAAAGTGCTGGGATTACAGGTGTTAGCCACTGCACCCAGCCCGATTGGCAGCTATTTCTATTTGCATTTCATTATATGAATATTTTTCTTTTCTTTCTTTTTTTCTTTTTTTTTCTTTTCTTTTTTTCTTTTTTTTTTTTAAGATGGAGTCTCACTCTGTTGCCAGGCTGGAGTGCAGTGGTGCGATCTTGGCTTACTGCATTCTCCGCCTCCCAGGTTCAAGCCATTCTGCCTCAGCCTCCCCAGTAGCTGGGACTGTTGCCACCACACCTGGCTAATTTTTGTATTTTAGTAGAAATTTGGATTCACCATGTTGGCCAGGATGATCTCGATCTCCTGACCTCGTGATCTGCCTGCCTCAGCCTCCCAAAGTGCTGGGATTACAGGCATGAGCCGCCATGCTTGGCCATGAATATTTTTCATCAGAAGCCATTGTAAGTTTATGTCATGGTTGTTTTTTATATTTCAGTCGACCTTACACAAACAAAGTCATCACTTTGTGGTACCGGCCTCCAGAACTACTGCTAGGAGAGGAACGTTATACACCAGCCATAGATGTTTGGAGCTGTGGGTAAGGTTCTGTTAACTTTTTCTTTCGTCTGTAAATTACATATTGTTGACTTGTACTTTGTTTTCTCTGTACATTGGCTTTTTGCAGCTCTTCTTAAGTTCAGAAGTATGGGGATAAACTTTTGGCCAGATTTCTGGGAAATCTGTTAAATATTTCTTAATGTCAGAGACACTTTTTTCAAAAAACAGATTTCTGGGCCGGGCGTGGTGGCTCAAGCCTGTAATCCCAGCACTTTGGGAGGCCGAGGCGGGTGAATCATGAGGTCGAGAGATTGAGACCATCCTGGTCAACATGGTGAAACCCCGTCTCTACTAAAAATACAAAAAATTAGCTGGGCATGGTGGCTCGTGCCTGTAATCCCAGCTACTCAGGAGGCTGAGGCAGGAGAATTGCCTGAACCCAGGAGGCAGAGGTTGCGGTGAACCGAGATCGCGCCATTGCGCTCCAGCCTGGGTAACGAGCAAAACTCCCATCTCAAAAAAAAAAAAAAAAAAAAAAAAATCCAGGTAAGGTTCATAGATTGCAGATCAAGTCTTTTAATTTTACTTTCCCCTTCTGTGTTACCTAATTTTGATTTATTTTGTTTTCTTGTCATTTCCTTAGAAGAAACTAGTTCACTTGTCCTATCCAGCCACTTATGGTCTGGATTTCACAGATTGTGTCCTCATGGTTTTTTTTTTTTTTTTTTAAAGCATGATTATCTTTTTGTTGTTTGAGACAGTCTTTCTATGTTGCCCATTCTGGAGTCCAGTGGCTGTTCGTAGGCATGATCATAGCATACTATATCCTTGAACTCCTGGGCTCAAGCCATCCTCCTGCCTCAGCCTCCTCAATAGCTGTGACAACAGGCACGTTGCCCAGCTTGTCTTTTTTACTTTTCGAAAATTGTAAGTGGATTAAACGTTGATTCCTAACCACCCACCCAGGGTCAGGGTAGTAGACCTGGAAACTACTTTACACTTGGTTTTGAGTACTTCTGACAAAAGTTATACAATTAGTGGTACATCAGCGTCGGGAGGTGGAGAGCAGTGGGAGCCTCTGCCGAGAGTATAGGCAATAAATGGTTATGTTGTCTGTGGAGAAATTTAAAACAACAAAACAAAATAATACAGTACAAACTAGTCAGCTTGCTTTTATGGACTTAGGAGGACAGTTTAAATGAGCAGATTTATATACACACCACTTTACATAATATGTAATGGTCCTTTTTTGAGATACTTGGCCATTGTCCATATCTGTTAATTCATTTGTGATGGTCATATTCTAATTATATCATTTCTTATTGGAATAATTACATAAAAATAATTTCTCATCTATTTGGCTGAACCCAGGTGTAAATAATATAGAAAAGGTAGGATAAAGGTTAATTCTTTCATTTTATTTAACAGTTTTCAAAATAATGAAGTAGCTTCCTAGTATCCTTCAAAGATGACCAATGAAAAATGATGAAAAATGTTTGGGTTTTTTGTTTGTTTGTTTTTTTTTTTTGGGGGGTTTCATTATGAACTAGTGGATTTAAACGTATTTGATGTATTTTAATCCATTGTGGTATTATCCTTACTCTTGTTCAAACTGTCCAGTCTTTGGCCAGTGGGAGCTTATTCGGCTTCTATTTTGAGTTCTTTGACATACTATAGTAGCGTTATAGTAGAAAACACCTTGTTTTTAGTTCCAACCTTGTCCTATTCATTTCCTGCCCCAGACCTGGAATCAAACATTTCTTTAAGGAGTCTTACTTCCTTTTAGTGGAAAATGATATTTAGAAACTACAATCTGTGTGTTGGGGCATGGATTTTTTTTTTTTTTTTTTTTTTGAGACGGAGTTTCGCTCTTGTTACCCAGGCTGGAGTGCAATGGCGCGATCTTGGCTCACCGCAACCTCCGCCCCCTGGGTTCAGGCAATTCTCCTGCCTCAGCCTCCTGAGTAGCTGGGATTACAGGCACATGCCACCATGCCCAGCTCATTTTTTTGTATTTTTAGTAGAGACGGGGTTTCACCATGTTGACCAGGATGGTCTTGATCTCTTGACCTCGTGATCCACCCTCCTCGGCCTCCCAAAGTGCTGGGATTACAGGCTTGAGCCACCTCGCCCGGCAGGGCATGGATGTTTTGAATGAGCCATGTTTATTAATTGTGTCTTACGTTGTATGATTTATGCCAACTCACACACTCTCCTTGACCTCCATACTTTAGGGTTCTGACTATATACTTCCTAGTGGAGCAAATCACTTTTTTCCATTCTTTTCCTTCCTCTATTAATGTCAGTCTTTAAGAGGAGCACTACAGGGGTTTTGTTTTAAAATTCAACAGAATGATGGAGAAAAAAGAAAGAGCATAATTTCTGTGGTAGCCTACCCAAATCAAATAAAGCTTTAGTTAAATTTTACTGACTCAAGCTGGGTGTGTTTTTGTTCTGGACTATTTGCTTTAACAGTATTAGCATTTAAATTGTCACAACCAGGCTCTAAAGTTAACGCCCCATTAAGATGCATGGGGAAAGTTCATAGCTCTGTTCGGTACTATTATTCCAGTCTGTGCAGCCTGCCACCTCAGTGCAGTAGGGAAGTGTTGATTACATAACAAAGATGTCTTCCCCACCAAGGGACTGGAAACCAAAAGAAAAGAAAACAGAAAAACACAATTTGAAATTAAAACTGCAGAAAGTTAAACATTGTTCAAAGCCCAGTGACTCACTGAATTAAGATTTTGTTTGACTTTTGGTATGAATTTACTACTTTGGTGATCCATGGTAGTGTCTCTGAAGATATTTTTATGGGATTTTTTTTATAGAGAATTGGTATGACAGTTCAGTGTACAAATTAGAATCAAGAGGAGAAACTAGAGAGACTAGTACAGCAAGTTATGCCTGGAGTCTGAAAACCTAGTGGCTTTTTTTTTTTTCTTTTTTAAATGTCTCTCATTTTACCTGCTGTGATGACAACACTGCACTTAGAACTTGATGTGGCAGTTAATGTTGGAAACAGAATCAAATTGTAGATTTTTTTTCTTTTTATAGAGTTGGGATCTCACTATGTTACCCAATCTCATCTCAAACTCCTGGGCCCAAGCAATCCTCCCACCTTGGCCTCCCCAAGTGCTAGGATTACAGGTGTCAGCCACGGGCCTCGCCTATATTTTACTTTTCCATCTCTGAATAGGATTTGAGAGAATATTGGAAGTTAGAGGTCTTTAAAGTTGTTTTAACATAATTTGTTTAGAAGCCTAAATTCTTTTTTTTTTTTTTTTTTTTTGAGACCGAGTTTCGCTCTTGTTACCCAGGCTGGAGTGCAATGGCGCGATCTCGGCTCACCGCAACCTCCGCCTCCTGGGTTCAGGCAATTCTCCTGCCTCAGCCTCCTGAGTAGCTGGGATTACAGGCACGCGCCACCATGCCCAGCTAATTTTTTGTATTTTTAGTAGAGACGGGGTTTCACCATGTTGACCAGGATGGTCTCGATCTCTTGACCTCGTGATCCACCCGCCTCGGCCTCCCAAAGTGCTGGGATTACAGGCTTGAGCCACCGCGCCCGGCCTAGAAGCCTAAATTCTAACAGAAGAGTGCTACTTAAAAAGCTAGGTTTGATCTGGGTGCAGAGTCTCACACCTGTAATCCCAGCACTTTGGGAGGCTGAGGCAGGAGTTTAAAACCAGTGTAGCCAAGATGGTGAAACCCTGTCTCTACTAAAAATACACAAAATTAGCTGCACCTGGTGGCACATGCCTCTAATCCCAGCTACTTGGGAGACTGAGGCAGATAATTGCTTAAACCTGGGAGAGAGAGGTTGCTGTGAACCAAGATTGCACCACTACCTGGGTACCTGGGTGACAAAGGGAGAATCTGTCTTAAAAAAAAAAAAAAAAAATACTAGGTTTGTTTTGCTTTCTCCAATTAAGTCACACAAAGGAATTTCAAAGTAAACCTATAAATTTGGTTTTGTATTTGTCTCATTTCAAAACATAGGTCAGACAGATTCATTGACTATTTTTTTCTTTCCCCACTATAAAAAATTTCAGGCATGTAACAGAAAGTATAGAATATTCATGTAATCTTTTGTTTCCTTTCTTTTTTTTTTTTTTTTTTTTTTTTTTTAAGGAGACATGGTCTTGCTCTGTTGCCAGGCTGGCTGGCTTCAAGTGATCCTCCTGCGTAAGCCTTCAAAAGTGCTAGGATTACAGGCATGAGCTATCATACTTGGCCTTTATTTTAATTCATTTTGAAATAATTTCAGTGTATGGAAAAATTATAAGAGTACAGAAAACTATTATAGTACAGAAAATGAGTACAGTATAGCCTTATCAAATTCATCCAATATTTAAACCTTTTTTTATTGAAGTATACAATAAACTGCATATATTTTGATTTTTTTTTTTTTTTTTTTTTTTTTTTTTTGAGACGGAGTTTCGCTCTTGTTACCCAGGCTGGAGTGCAATGACGCGATCCCGGCTCACCGCAACCTCCGTCTCCTGGGTTCAAGCCTCCTGCCTCAGCCTCCTGAGTAGCTGGGACTACAGGCGTGCGCCATCATGCCCAGCTAACTTTTGTATTTTTAATAGAGACAGGGTTTCACCATGTTGACCAGGACGGTCTCGATCTCTTGACCTTGTGATCCACCCGTCTCGACCTCCCAAAGTTCTGGGATTATAGGCGTGAGCCACCGTGCCCGGCCGCTATTTTGATATGTTTCGACACAGTATATCCACCAGTAAAATAATCAACACAGCCAAGATAATAATCACCCTCCACATTTTCCTTGTGGACTTTTGTAATCTCTTTCTTCTACCCACACCCTCCCATTCCCAGGCAAACCACTGTTCTGCATTCTACACTATAGATTGACTTCCATTTCTAGAATTTTATGCAAATAGAATTATATAGTATATATTCCCCCCACTTTTAATCAGCATAAAAGATTATATTCACTAATTTTTTTTTTTTTTTTTTTTTTTTTGAGACGGAGTTTTGCTCTTGCTACCCAGGCTGGAGTGCAATGGCGCCATCTCGGCTCACTGCAACCTCCGCCTCCTGGGTTCAGGCAATTCTCCTGCCTCAGCCTCCTGAGTAGCTGGGATTACAGGCACACGCCACCATGCCCAGCTAATTTTTTGTATTTTTAGTAGAGACGGGGTTTCACTGTGTTGACCAGGATGATCTCGATCTCCTGACCTCGTGATCCACCCACCTCAGCCTCCCAAAGTGCTGGGATTACAGGCTTGAGCCACCACGCCCGGCTTATTCACTAATTTTTAATATCTTGCCACATTTGCACATCATGTAACACATACATAGAATAAAATGTTTGTGTTTACATATGTACACACCATATATTTTTCTGGAACTGTTTGAAAATTTTTGCATATATCATGCTGCTTTCCCATTTAATGTATAGTCCCTAAGAACAAAGATATCCTCTTAACTGCAGTACAGTTATAAAATTCAGGAACTGTAACATTATTATACACTATTTTTATTTAATGCATCACTTCAGTCTACATTCCAAATATATTCCAGTTTTATCAGTATCTTAATAATGTCCCCAAAATAATACTCTATCTAATACAGGATCCAGTTCAGAATCAGGTATCACATTTAGCCGTCATTCTTTTTATTTTTTATTTTTATTTTTGCGGGGGACTGGAATTTGATTATTACTCAGATCAAGTTGTCATTCTTTTTTTTTCTTTGAGACAGACTTTTGCTTTTCTTGCTCAGGCTGGAGTGCAATGGAGCGATCTTGGCTCAATGAAACCTCCACCTCCTGGGTTTAAGCCTCCCGAGTACCTGGGATTACAGCTACAGGGATTACACCATGCCTGGCTCATTTTTAGTACAGATGGGGTTTCACCATGGCCATCCTGGTCTCAAACCACTGACCTCAGGTGATCCACCTCCCAAAGTGCTGGGATTACAGGCATGAGTCACTGAGTCCGGCTCTTTTGCCCAGGCTGGAGTGCAGTGGCAGGATCTCGGTTCACTGCAGCCTCTGCTTCCTTTGTTCAAGTGATTCTTCTGCCTCAGCCTCCCACATAACTGGGACTGCAGGTGTATGCCACCACACCCAACTAATTTTTGTTTTTTTTTGAGACGGAGTTTCACTCTTGTTATCCAGGCTGGAGTGCAATGGCGCGATCTCGGCTCTCCGCAACCTCCGTCTCCTGGGTTCAAGCAATTCTTCTGCCTCAGCCTCCTGAGTAGCTGGGACTATAGGCGTGCACCACCATGCCCAGCTAATTTTTGTATTTTTAGTAGAGACGGGGTTTCACCATGTTGACCGGGATGGTCTCGATCTCTTGACCTCGTGATCCACCTGCCTCAGCCTCCCAAAGTGCTGGGATTACAATTACAGGCTTGAGCCACCGCGCCCGGCTTTTTTTTTTTTTTTTTTTTTTTTTTTTTTTTTTTTTTTTTTTTGAGACGGACTTTCGCTCTTGTTACCCAGGCTGGAGTGCAATGGTATGATCTCCGCTCACCGCAACCTCCGCCTCCTGGGTTCAGGCAATTCTCCTGCCTCAGCCTCCTGAGTAGCTGGGATTACAGGCACGCGCCATCATGCCCAGCTAATTTTTTGTATTTTTAGTAGAGACAGGGTTTCACCATGTTGACCAGGATGGTCTCGATCTCTCGACCTTGTGATCCACCCGTCTCGGCCTCCCAAAGTGCTGGGATTACAGGCTTGAGCCACCGCGCCCGGCCAATTTTTGTATTTTTATTAGAGATGGGGTTTTACCATGTTGGCCAGGCTGGTTTCAAACTCCTAACCTCAAATGATCAGCCCACCAGGTCTCCCAAAGTGCTGGGATTACAGGTGTGAACTACCATGCCTGGCCTTTTTAATCTTCTTTAATCTAGAACAATTCCTTAGCCTTTATCTTCCCTGACATATTTTTTGAAGAATACAAACCAGTTACCATTAATACTCCATATGCAATATTATGTTCTTATCAGGATATTGTGTGTTTTTTTTTTTTTAAGATGGGGTTTCATCATGATGGCCAGGCTGGTCTTGAACTCCTGACCTCAGGTGATCCACCCACCTCAGCCTCCCAAATTGCTAGGATTACAGGCGTGAGCCACCGTGCCGGCTCATATTTATTGTATTTGTACTTAAATAGACTCTGTTTGCCTCATATTGATGATGTTAGTTTTGGTTAAAGTATTCTCTTCCCACTAGTTACTACTAATTCTTTTGTAATTAATAACTAATTTGTGGGGAAATACGTTGTCACCATGTAAACATGTCCAATTAGTGATGGACTTTCACTCTTATTGTCCAGGCTGGAGTGCAATGGAACCATCTCAGCTCACTGCAACCTCTGCCTCCCACATTCAAGCATTTCTCTTGCCTCAGCCTCCTGAGTAGCTGGGATTACAGGCACCCGCCACCATGCCCAGCTAATTTTTGTTTTTTTTTTTCAGTAGAGACGAGGTTTCACCATGATCGCCAGGCTGTTCTTGAACTCCTGACATCAGGTGATCCACGTGCCTTGGCCTCTCAAAGTGTGGGATTACAGGTGTGAGCCACCACATCCACTGGCAAAGTTGTTTTAACATAACCTGTTTAAAAGTCCAACTGGGCTGGATATTATGGTGGCTCATGCCTGTAATCCTAACACTTTGGGAGACCAAGGTGGGAGCATCACTTGAGCTCAGGAGTTCAAGACCACCCTGGGCAAGATGGTAAGACCTCGTCTCTAAAAAATAAAAATAGCCGGGTGCGGTGACTGAGGCCTATAATCCCAGCACTTTAGGAGGCCGACGCTGGGGGATTACCTGAGGTCAGGAGGACTGTTGACTCACTTTCTCTGCTCATAGAGTGTCCTTAATAGGTGGCAAAAGTTTGATATGCTGGCAAATTTAAATCCTTATACTGTCTGTTTCACTGCAATAAATATTTTATCTTAGGAAACTCAGACACTGAAATTTGGGGCTAGTTATATTGGTTGCAACCCAATACATTAATAATATAAAAGATTTTCGAGGCTCTTTATCTAGGCTGTAAGAATTTCTGACCTCTCAATTTTACCTTTTCTAGATGCATTCTTGGGGAACTATTCACAAAGAAGCCTATTTTTCAAGCCAATCTGGAACTGGCTCAGCTAGAACTGATCAGGTACAGCTGTGCATGTGTTCTTGAGTGTTCAGGTGTGATAGATAATCTCATCCTTCAGTTTCTATCACTTTCCAGTCGTTCTGATTGAGTTTGTTTCTTATGTCCGAGTAAGTTTCTTTTTACTCAGTCAGGTTTACCATATATTTTGTCATGGGCTATACATATAAAGAAGTTGTATTTCACCTCATTTTTAGGTCTTACCTTGTCTTGCCTTGCATAATTTTTATTAGCTCTTCATATAAAAGCATGCCATTTCAGGATGGCTCTTCCATTCATAGCTCAGATTAGATTAAATTTATTCGGCAAGCATTTATTGAGCCTTTTATACAATAGATTACTTTTTTGTTTCGTTTTGTTTTTTATTTTTACAACAGATTAATTTTTTTTTTGAGAGGAGTTTCACTCTTGTTACCCAGGCTGGAGTGCAATGGCGCGATCTCGGCTCAATGCAACCTCTGCCTCCTGGGTTCAGGCGATTCTCCTGCCTCAGCCTCCTGAGTAGCTGGGATTACAGGTACGCGCCACCATGCCCAGCTCATTTTTTGTATTTTTAGTAGAGACGGGGTTTCACCATGTAGACCGAGATGGTCTCGATCTCTTGCCCTCGTGATCCACCTGCCTCGGCCTCCCAAAGTGCTGGGATTACAGGTGTGAGCCACCATGCCTGGCCCACAATAGATTACTTTTAACGTTAAACTTTGGGATTCTGAGATAATTAGGTTCCTGCCTTCAAAGAATTTAGAGTTTAGTAAGGCATATAGCATGTAAATAGTTATAAAACGCAACCTATAGTAGAAAATTTGGGGAAGGCCTGGGATTGGGCTGGAATTTGGGTGGGTTTTTTTTTTTCCCCCATAAAATTAAAGGGAAGAATATAGCAGTCTAATATAGACTTTTTTTTTCCTTTTCTTTTTTTTTAAGACACAGGGTTTTACTCTTGTCAACTAGATTGGAGTACAGTGGCATGATCATAGCTCACTGCAGCCTCAAACTCCTGCACTCAAGCGATCCTCCCATCTTATCCTCCTGAATAGCTGGAACTATAGGCATTTGCCACCACACCCAGCTATTTTTTTGTTCATTTGTTTTGTAGAGACAGGGTCTCATGATGTTGCCTGGGCTCAAACTGCTCATCTTGAACTCCTGGGCTCAAACAATCCTCCTGCCTTGGCCTCCCAAAGTGCTGGGATTACCTACATGAGCCACCATACTAGCCTAATGTAGACATTTTTTAAAGGTGATACATAACTCATTTTTTGTTATTTGGTAAACTATGTCAATTATCTATCAAAATGTTCAGGCTATACTCTCTTCTCATCTCACAGTATAGGGATTCTATAGGACCCTATAGGGATTCTATAGGACCAACTTAGCCCTTTGTAATTAGTGTTAATCAAACAGAACAAAACTGGTAATGAAAACCTGCATGGGAGGATTAAAACATTTCACAATCCAAATAATGTAGATCATTTAGGATTATTATCCCAGTATTTCTTCTTCTCTCTGTTATATCCAGTTCTTTCTGTTGTTCTATTCCTTTCTGTCCTTAAAGCAGTGATGTCATACTTTCCTTTATGCATGCCTTCTAATGTAATAAGCAAAGATTCCCCAGACGTCAGGAGGTAATAATTTCTGCTTCTAAAACCTCCAGAATTCATGATGCTGACTCATTCACTCCGTCGTTCTTGCTATTTGCTTTGTTTTCAGCCGACTCTGTGGTAGCCCTTGTCCAGCTGTGTGGCCTGATGTTATCAAGCTGCCCTACTTCAACACCATGAAACCGAAGAAGCAATATAGAAGGCGTCTACGAGAAGAATTTTCTTTGTGAGTTTGGCAAAAATGTACATCTCATTTCTGTGTCTGGCTGGTGTTGGGACTTGACTTTTTCCGGTCTGGGGAGTTAATGTTGTCCTAATTTATTATGGCAACACAGTGTAGAAAAACATGTTGGTTTTGAATAGTATATGAGTTTAATCATAGCCCTTTGGTAATTTTCTCTTCTTTAGACAATAGAAAACGCTTTTATTTTTAATAATATATAAATTTTCTCATAGTCTTCTTGGTATTCCGATGAGAAAAATAAAATGGAACTGTTGGCTTCATGGTTTTTTTGTTGTTGTTTGTTTTGTTTTTAAAATTGAGACAGGGTCTTGCTCTGTTGTCCAGGCTGGAGTGCAGTGGTATGCTTAGGGCTCACTGCAGCCTTGACCTGCTGGGCTTAAGCAGTCCTCCCACCTTAGGCTTGTGAATAGCTAGGACCACTGGCATAAATCACCACACCCGGCTTCTTTTTTTTTTTCTTCCCCAGTAGAGGTAGGATCTCCTTATGTTGCCCAGGATGGTCTCTTGAGCGTCTGGGCTCAAGTGATCTTCTGCCTCAGCCTCCCAAAGTGCTGGGGTTAAACTTTAGGAGACTGAGGCAGGAAGATCACTGGTATTCTACCATGCCTAGCCATGTTGGCATGTTTTTCTTTTTACTTTTTTTCTCTCTGTTTTTTTTTTTTAAACTTTAATAGATGGATTGAACTGGCCATATTTTTTTGTGTGTGTCTCCCAGGCTGGAGTGCAGTGATGCAATCTTGGCTCACTACAACCTCTGTCTCCCAGGTTCAAGCGATTCTCCTGCCTCAGCCTCCCCAGTAGCTGGAATTATAGGCACCTGCCACCATGCCCAGTTAATTTTTATATTTTTAGTAGAGATGGCATTTCACCATGTTGGCCAGGCTGGTCTTGAATTCCTGACCTCAAGTGATCTGCCTGCCTCAGCCTCCCAGAGAGCTGGGATTATAGGTGTGGACTACCACACCACTTTTTTTTTTTTTAGATGAAATTTTGTCCTTGTTGCCCAAGCCAGAGTACAATGGTGTGAACTCGGCTCACTGCGATCTCCGGCTTCCAGTTTAAGCGACTCTCCTGCCTCAGCCTACTGAGTAACTGAGATTACAGATGTAGGCCACACCACACCTGGCTAATGTTTTGTATTTTTGTTAGAAACGGGCTTTCACTATGTTAGCCAGGCTGGTCTCGAACTCCTGACCTCAGATGATCTGCCTGCCTCTGCCTTGGCCTCCCAAAGTGCTGGGATTACAGGCGTGAGCCACTGCACCTGGCTCAGCATTTCTTTTTTTTTTTTTTTTTTTTGAGACGGAGTTTCGCTCTTGTTACCCAGGCTGGAGTGCAATGGCGCGATCTCGGCTTACCGCAACCTCTGCCTCCTGGATTCAGGCAATTCTCCTGCCTCAGCCTCCTGAGTACCTGGGACTACAGGCATGCGCTACCATGCCCAGCTAATTTTTTGTATTTTTAGTAGAGACGGGGTTTTACCATGTTGACCAGGATGGTCTCGATCTCTTGACTTTTGTGATCCACCTGCCTCAGCCTCCCAAAGTGCTGGGATTACAGGCTTGAGCCACCGCGCCCAGCCAGCATTTCTTAAATCCTATGTAGGAGCAAATCTGCTTGCTTGGTTAGCCAACTTCCAACTTCCTTTCCTTGGTTTTATATGGAAATTCAAAGTTTTTTTTTGAGACAGTGTCTCACTCTGTCACCAGGCTGGACTGTAGTGGTGTGATCTTGGCTCATTGCAACCTCCACCTCCTGGGTTCAAACAATTTTCAGCCTTCTGAGCAGCTAGGATTACAGGCATGTATCACCACCCCTGGCTAATTTTTTTTTATTTTTAATAGAGATGGGTTTCACTGTGTTGGCCAGGCTGGTACAGAACTCCTGGCCTCAAATGATCCACTCACCTCAGCCTGCTAAAGTGCTAGGTGGAACTATAGGCATAAGTCACCATGCCCATCTTTTTTTTTTTTTTTTTTTTTTTTAAGATATGGGGTCTTGCTGTGTTGCCCAGGCTGGAATGCAGTTATGCAGTAAGGGCTCAGTGCAACCTCGATTTCCTAGGCTCAAGTGATCTTCCAATGTCAGCCTCCCAAGTAGCCAAGACTACAAGGTGCACACCATTACACCCAGATAATTAAAAAAAAAAATTGTAGAGATCAGGTATCAATATATTGTCCAGGCTGGTCTCAAACTTCTGGCTTCAAGCAGTCCTCTTACCTTGGCCTCCCAAAGTGCTGCAATTACAGGTGTGAGACTCTTTGACACAAAGTTACAGATTTGAGAACTGTACAGTCATTGTGAACTTGTCCTTTCTGTGTTCTTTTCCATAGCATTCCTTCTGCAGCACTTGATTTATTGGACCACATGCTGACACTAGATCCTAGTAAGCGGTGCACAGCTGAACAGACCCTACAGAGCGACTTCCTTAAAGATGTTGAGCTCAGCAAAATGGCTCCTCCAGAGTAAGTGCTAGTAGCCATATTGTGACCCTAAACTTTCCTCTGGGCCTTAGAAGCTGAGAAACTCATAAAAGAACCACAAATGCCTAATAAGCCCCAAATGAAGAGGTGTCCTTGTATTATGCTTGAGGTTTATTTTATTGTTTTTTCTTTGTTGTTGTTGTTTTTTCTTTATATAAGTAATAGATTTAGCTGTCATACTTGTTCTAATTTGACTCAAACTATCTTCTTTTGTCCCTGGATCTCCATTCCAGAATATTGTTCCTTAGGACCTCTTTGAAAGTGTTCCTTTTAGATTTTTTGGGTTTTTTTTTTTTTTTTTTTTTTTTTTTCTTGAGATGGAGTTTCGCTTTTGTTGCCCAGGCTGGAGAACAATGGCCTGATCTTGGCTTACCACAGCCTCTGCCTCCCGGGTTCAAGCCATTTTCCTGCCTCAGCCTCCCAAGTAGCTGGGATTACAGACACCTGCCACCACGCCCGGCTAAGCTTTGTATTTTTAGTAGAGATGGGGTTTCACCATGTTGTTCAGGCTGGTCTCGAATTTCTGACCTCTTGATCTGCCTGCCTTGGCCTCTCAAAGTGCTAGGATTACAGGCGTGAGCCACTGTGCCTGGCCTTTTGTGGGTTTTTTTTTTGGGGGGGGCGGAGATGGAGTCTCACTTTGTTGCCAGGCTAGAGTGCAGTGGCACAATCTTGGCTCACTGCATCCTCTGCAGGGTTCAAGTGATTCTCCTGCCTTAGCCTCCCAGCTAGCTGGGACTACAGGCATCTACCACCATGCCCGGCTAATTTCTGTATTTTTAGTAGAGGCGAGATTTTACCATGCTGGCCCGGTTGGTCTCAAACTCCTGACCTCAGGTGATTCACCTGCTTTGGCCTCCCAAAGTGCTGGGATTATAGGTGTGAGCCATCATGCTCAGTGATTTTTGTTGTTGCTGCTGTTTTGAGATGGAGTCTTGCTCTGTCTCTTCTTCCTCCTGGGTTTAAGCAATTCTTCTGCCTCAGCCTTCCAAGTAGCTAGGATTACAGGTGCCCATTGCCATTCTCGGCAAATTTTTTTGTATTTTTAGTAGAGATGGGGTTTCACCCATGTTGGTCAGGCTGGTCTTGAACTTCTGCTCACCTCAGCCTCTGAAAGTGCTGGGATTACAGGTGTGAACCACCATGCCTGGCCTTTTTTTTTTTTTTTTTTTTTTCCTAATTGTAGAAATGGGGTTTCACTACCTTACCCAGGCTATCTCAAACCCCTGGGCTCAAATAATCCTCCTGCCTCAGCCTTCCAAATTCATGGGATTACAGGCAGGAGACACTGTGCCTGGCCTCCTTTTTGCTCTTAACCATTCCTTATTGTGGAATCATGCATGTCATACTGTGATGACCATGTATATCACAGTTACAGAGACAGTTTCGGTTTTAGATGGTTTGCATCACTGCCAGGTTATTAAATTTTTTTTTTTTTAATTCTGAGACAGGATCTCTCACTCGGTCACCCAGGCTAGAGTGTGGTGGTGCGGTCTCAGCTCACTGCAACCTCCACCTCCCAGGTTCAAGCAATTCTCATGCCTCAGCCACCTGAGTAGCTGGATTACAGGCACCTGCCACCACACCTGGCTAATTTTTTTATTTTTAGTAGAGACAAGGTTTCACCATGTTGGCCAGGCTTTTCTTAAACTCCTGACCTCAGGTGATTAGCCTGCCTCGGCCTCCCAAATGCTGGGATTACAGGTATGAGCCACTACGCCTGGCTAGGTTATTGAATTTTGATGTAAGAAATAATGAGCTTTTGGCCAGGTGCGGTGGCTCCCGCCTGTAATCCCAGCACTTTGGGAGGCTGAGGCAGGTAAGTCACCTGAGGTCAGGAGTTCAAGACCAGCCTGGTCAACATGGTGAAACCCTGTCTCTACTAAAAATTCAAAAAATTAAATGGGTGTGGTGGTGCACATTTGTAGTCCTGGCTATTCAGGAGGCTGAGGAAGGAGAATTGCTTGAACTTGGAAGGTGGAGGTTGCAGAGGGCTGAGATTGTGCCAGTGCACTACTGCCTGGGCGATAGAGTGAGACTCCATCTCAAAAAATAAATAAAGTAAATGAATAAAATAAATAGGATCTTTCAATGTGTCTCTCTTTCATTAGAATCTTATGAATGCCCCTGTGTTGTATTGGAGCTTCAGAGGTTCACATCCCACATTCTAGCACATAAAAAGTCTTTTATCTGGCCTGGCACGGTGGCTCACGCCTGTAATCCCAGCACTTTGGGAGGCTGAGGCAGGCGGATCACGTGAGATCATGAGTTCGAGACCAGCTTGGCCAACATGGTAAAACCCCGTCTCTACTAAAAATACAAAAATTAGCCCGGAGTGGTGGCACCTATCTGTAGTCCCAGCTACTTGGGGAGACTGAGGCAGGAGAAATGCTTGAACCCAGGAGGTGGAGGTTGCAGTGAACCAAGAAGGCATCACTGCACTCCAGCCTGAGTGACAGAGCAAGACCCCGTCTCAAAAAGAAAAAAAAAAGCTTTATCTTTGAATTTATCACTGACAGTATTACAGCTTTAATGTCAAATTTGGGGGGCATATTTCTTACCTTAAGAAAGACTGCCTAAGGCCGGGCGCGGTGGCTCACGCCTGTAATCCCAGCACTTTGGGAGGCTGAGGCAGGTGAATCCACAAGGTCAAGAGATCAAGACCATCCTGGTCAACATGGTGAAACCCCGTCTCTACTAAAAATACAAAAAATTAGCTGGGCGTGGTGATGCGTGCCTGTAATCCCAGCTACTCGGGAGGCTGAGGTGGGAGAATTGCCTGAACCCAGGAGGCAGAGGTTGCGGTGAGCCGAGATTGCGCCATTGCACTCCAGCCTGGGTAACAAGAGCGAAACTCCGTCTCAAAAAAAAAAAAAGACTACCTGTCTTAAAAATGGATAGGGTTTTAGTTGACGTGTGTAAGTAGTAACTGTAAATCTGATTGCTCCAAAGAAATGTCTAAATTCATTTATTTTTTATTTGATTTTGAGACAGAGTCTTGCTCTGTTGCTCAGGCTGGAGTGCAGTGGCAACGTCTCAACTCAGCAACTTCCACCACCCTGGTTCAAGAAATCCTCCTGCCTCGACCTCCCTAGTATCTGGGATTACAGGCACACACAACCATGCCTGGCTAACTTTTGTATTTTTAGTAGAGATGGTGTTTCACCATGTTGGTCAGGCTTGTCTCGAACTCCTGACCTCATGATCCGCCTGCCTCTACCTCCCAAAGTGCTGGGATTACAAGTGTGAGCCACTGCGCTAGGCCAAATTTATTTATTTCAGTGGAATTTTGATACACTGAATATGACTTGAAATATATAGGAGTTTTACTGAAATTTGGGAACTGCTATTATAGAGAGATTTTTGTAGTAAGATTTGACCTACTTGGTCTGTTTGTATGGGAAAGTCTGGAAAAATATAGTAAGTTATATGTAGTGCTGACCTCCACAGATGAGCAAGTTGATATCCAGTCATTGAAATTCGGTGGGCAGAAAGGGGAAAGAACTCGTCTTTGGCCCTCACAAACCAAATTACACATAAGTCGATTTTGCACAGAGATGTTTGGTTCATGATATATGGTTCCAGGATTTAAATCACCGCCTCTCCAGATCTTCTTTGGACATTAACAAGCCAGCTATCTCTGTCCTCCTCTTTATTCCCTACTGAAATTTGACCAATACAGTTCTGTATTCTTGTTTTGCCAAGGAAAGATAGTATTTATATGAGAATTTATATATCTGATCTGTACCTAGTATTAGCAAGATTCTCCTTTCTCACTGTATAAATTTCTTGGACTTTTGTACTTTTATTTCCTCAGATTACCATCTGCCATGATTTCTTTTACACTGTTGTTACCTACTTACTAACTTTTCTGGTTATTTTTGTTTTTCTTATTCTTGACATTTCCTACAGTCTTTGGCTTCCTATTTTAATTCTTTGCTCCTCCATTCATTCACTGTTGCATTCCCATACATATTTCCCCTTTGCTTTGTCTTTTTCCAGCCTCCCCCACTGGCAGGATTGCCATGAGTTGTGGAGTAAAAAACGGCGACGTCAGCGACAAAGCGGTGTTGTTGTGGAAGAGGCACCTCCATCCAAAACGTCTCGAAAAGAAACTACCTCAGGGACAAGTGCTGAGCCTGTGAAGAATAGCAGCCCAGCACCACCTCAGCCTGCTCCTGGCAAGGTGGAGCCTGGGGCTGGGGATGCAATAGGTCAGTGCTGGAATGGGGTCTTTGTGCTATTACTAAGCATATTTGGCAGGTCTGGAAGGTCAAATGCAGGAAGTCTGTCTGTTTTTTAGTTTTTGTCCAGTGAACTATTAGGAAAGAGCTTAATGTCCTCATTACGGGGAAAAGGAGATAAGCCAAGTTTTGTACATATGTTCCAGAAATTCTACAATAGATAATTTTCCTTTCCTGAAATATGTATGGAACACTGTTAATTCAATTAGATTTGTGGCATAAATTAGTGAATTAGGTAAGCCAAATTTAATTTAAGGTTAGTATACCTATGACTTTCTAACACACATAGTTTGGAGTCTTTCTTATGTTAGATTTGATAAAACCTTCATAGAATCTAATTTTATTTATTTATTTATTTTTTTTTTTTTTTGAGGCGGAGTTTCACTCTTGTTACCCAGGCTGGAGTGCAATGGCGCGATCTCGGCTCACCGCAACCTCCGCCTCCTGGGTTCAGGCAATTCTCCTGCCTCAGCCTCCTGAGTGGCTGGGATTACAGGCACACGCCACCATGCCCAGCTAATTTTTTGTATCTTTGGTAGAGACGGGGTTTCACCATGTTGACCAGGATGGTCTCGATCTCTCGACCTCGTGATCCACCCGCCTCAGCCTCCCAAAGTGCTGGGATTACAGGCTTGAGCCACCGCGCCCGGCTGAGAATCTAATTTTAAATTGCAGTTGCTGAATGTTGTTAGTTTTATAGGCTGTTATTTTTATCTAAATGTATCTAAAACTATTTCATATTGAACTATTATAACAAAGTAGTTCTTCTGTGTTACGACCAGTTTCTCAGAACAAAAGATTCTCCTTTTCTGGTTCACTCTCCCTTCCCTCTTCACTTAGAGCAATGGTTCTCAACACTGGCTGTACATTAGAATCATCCAGGAAGCTTTAAATATAGATATGCCGGTACAATTGCCATATCTCTAGGGATGGGTTCTGAGGCATCTGAATAGGAGAGATTGTAAAATCTCTCCTAGTAATTCTGATGTATAGTAAGGGTTAAAAATCACTGACCTTGAAGAATACAAGTAAATGAAGTCACTTTTTTTTTTTTTTTTTTTTAAGGGTTTTACCATGTTGGCCAGGCTGGTCTTGAACTCCTGACCTCAGGTGATCCGCCTGCCTCGGCCTCCCAAAGTGCTGAGATTACAGGCGTGAGCCACCACGCCCAGCCATGAAGTAACTTTTAAGCACAATGCAGAGATGTTTTAGTTATTATTGCCTGTATTTTTTAAGTGAACGCATAAAGAATAACAAACTTATCATGACATTTTGAGGTATGAAAAATGAGACATTTAAAATGAAACTTCATTTTTTGGATATTATAAGTTGTTGTTGCCAGTTGAAGAAGGCAAAGGGCCCTTGGCCTGTCTCATCCTCTTATATTGGCTTCACTATCTTTCCACAGGCCTTGGTGACATCACACAGCAACTGAATCAAAGTGAATTGGCAGTGTTATTAAACCTGCTGCAGAGCCAAACCGACCTGAGCATCCCCCAAATGGCACAGCTGCTTAACATCCATTCCAATCCAGAGATGCAGCAGCAGCTGGAAGCCCTGAACCAATCCATCAGTGCCCTGACGGAAGCTACTTCCCAGCAGCAGGACTCAGAGCCCATGGCCCAAGAGGAGTCTTTGAAGGAAGCACCCTCTGTCCCAGTGGTCCTGCCTTCAGCAGAACAGACGACCCCTGAAGCTTCAAGCACACCAGCTGACATGCAGAATATTTTGGCAGTTCTCTTGAGTCAGCTGGTGAAAACCCAAGAGCCAGCAGGCAGCCTGGAGGAAAACAACAGTGACAAGAACAGTGGGCCACAGGGGCCCCGAAGAACTCCCACAATGCCACAGGAGGAGGCAGCAGGTAAACAGACCGGTCATGAATCTCATTGAGCTCAGGTGCTGTTGATCCTCTTAAAGATTTCTTAATTTTTTTTTCCCCCACATCAGTGGCCTTGGTTTCAGTTATTCTGTAACCTAGTCTACAGGAGAACATAGCACCAAGTGATGTATTTCTTGCTTGGCTTCTTTTAAGTTTAAAAGCTTCCCAAAGCACTTTTCCTATACTGATTGTTTTTCTACTTCCCAGGAGATAGGTAAGTAAAGTCCCTGTGTTCTACCCAAGGAAACCACAACTATAGCTAGTGATGCATCTTGAACCACTGTGTGTGGTGGCAGACTAGTCCTAGCGCTTGGAAATCTGACTTCCAAACAATCCATTATCAGCCTATACTTCTTGACTTCTAGTGGAATGGATGCTGAATACCAGTCTTTCCTGGAAGATACAATCAAGAGAACCCTAATAAAATATCATTGTTAATTTCCTGATGAATAATTTGGGAATATTTCTAAGTAGATAATTAACACTATACATTTCTTTTCCTGAAAATAATAATGTATAAGAACAATTCATTTAAATCTGTTTCTGATAGAAGCAATTGATTGGACCCCAGATCAGGAAGTGAATATATTATAAAGAAAAAAAAATAAAAGGAAAATGGTGATAAGTTATACTTTAGTCTCACATGACCATACCATGCAATTTATTAGAGGGAAAAGCAATTTAAATTCTTTAATTCTGATTCACAGTCTATTTGCAAAATCTCTAAAAGTGTTTTTAACTCCTTGGAAATTCTCACTGTCCATGAAGACCCCATGAATTGGGGAATAAGAAGAGGCTCAAGGGCTGAAGAGGTATACTAATCTTCAACTTTAGGGTCGTACTTTCTCATTTCTTATGAAGTGGTGCAGAAAGTATATGCTTTAAGGTCTGGCCTATGGCCAGAAGTTGTTGGATTTACTTTTCAGAGGAAAGTGTAAAAATGCCATAACTAACTATTGCAGTCACCCCCTGGATTATTCAGCTGGTGCCTCTACAGTGGCTCACTTGTTTCTCTCCTGCTGTCTCTATTTGGTCATTTCACTGTTAATTAGCACTTCCACCAGAGGGCAGACTTTATAAGCCAGAGAAGGTGATAGCCTATCAATCTGACTCCTGTTTTGCTATTCTGTACTTATTGGGAAGGGTAATAGTTGAAATCTAATGAGTAAAATGAAGTGTGTACGGGGTTTTTTGTTTTTTTTTTTTGTTTTTTTTTTTGAGATGAAGTCTCACTCTTGGCCAGGCTGGAGAGCATGGAGTATAATGATGTGATCTCGACTCACTGCAAACCCCCCCTCCTAGGTTCAATCGATTCTCCTGCCTCAGCCTCCTTAATAGCTAAGATTACAGGTACGCACCTCCACACCCAGCTAATTTTGCATTTTTAGTAGTGACGGGATTTCACCATGTTAGCTAGGCTGGTCTGGAACTCCTAACCTGAGGTGATCCGTCCACCTTCGGCCTCCCAAAGTGCTGGTATTACAGGTGTAAGCCACCATGCCCAGTCTGAAATTTTAAATTTATTTTTACATTTCAATAATACATCCTTATTGTTGTCAATCCTAAAAGTCTATACTTTTTTGTTTGTTTGTTTGTTTATTTTTGAGACAGAGTCTTTCTCTGTCGCCCAGGTTGGAGTGCAATGGCGCGATCTCGACTCACTGCAATTGGGTTCAAACAATTCTGCCTCAGCCTCCAAAGTAGCTGGGATTATAGGCATTCACCACCACACCTGGCTAATTGTTGTGTTCTTAGTCGAGACAGGGTTTCGCCATGTTGGCCAGGCTAGTTTTGAACTTCTGACCTCCGGTGATCCACCTGCCTTGGCCGTCCAAACCGCTGGGATTACAGATGTGAGCCACCATGCCTGGCCAAAAGTCCTGTACTTTTAAGGAGTGACAGCATCGATACTTTAAATCATAACAGTGTGATTTATAATTCATATTTTATTTTTATTTCATTTAAGTTTTATTAGCCTTATGTTAGTAGCTTTTTTTTTTTTTTTTTTTTTTTTTTTGAGATGGAGTCTCGCTCTGTCACCGAGGCTGGAATGCAATGGCATGATCTCGGTTCACTATAATCTCTACCTCTCGGGTTCAAGTGATTCTCCTGCCTCAGCCTCCCAAGTAGCTGGGATTACAGGCATGCGCCACCACCTGATTTTTTTATATTTTTAGTAGAGACAGGGTTTCGCCATGTTGGCCAGGCTGGTCTCTGCCCACCTCATTCTCCCAAAGTGCTGGGATTACAGGCATGAGCCACCATGCCCAGCCTTTGCTACTTTGGAATCAAAGTTTTATTTTATACATGTGAAGGAATTTGAGCTAGAGAGTTAGTTCTTTTGAAACATAATTAGGCTATTTACATAAAAGGCAAAGTTTGAATTAAAAAAATGGCATAGCTGGAAGAATGTAAGTTTAGATTATCTCACTTTTGCAGTTATACATTTTTAAGTTATTTGACCTCGGTATTAAAAAACCTTGTGTTACATTTTATGTGTAGTACAGAAATACTTTTAAAAATAACTGGTACTATGATGTCCTTATATAGAGAGTGTTGAAAGCAAAAGGCTCTGAAATCTATCACTACTTTTAGTCCAGTTAGCCCTCCTTTTTCAGCATGTTTACTCTCCATGTTCAAAATTTTCCATGGCTAATTTTTTGTCCTTAAATTCATTTTTCCCTGCCACCCTGTCAACCAGGCAATCAGTCAACAAAAAACTTGGGTGGGTACTATACATAGGGTCACCAATTCATTCCTGATCTGTCCCAGTTTTAAAGCTGAATGTTGACAACCTGGAAAACCCTCTCAGTCCCAGACAAACTGGGACTGTTGGTCACCCTACTTGAATGTTACTTGTAGCACCTGACCTCATCTTTTATACTGTACGACCTTACAATTTTGTAGTTTTTCAGAGTGCTTTCTTCTGCATGCTAAGGGAATAGAAACTTAATTACTGATTGTCTTTGCAAAATATAATTAAGATAAATATGCTACAAAAATACCTAATTACAACTAAAAACTGTTTTTGGCTTGTTTTGAGTAATGACTTTACATCACAGCTTAAATAATGGAAGAATAACACACACACACACACACACACACACACACACATATTTTTAAATAAGCTTTCATAGGGAAAAGAAAAATTGGTCATTTGGAACATATCACAAAACATTAAATTTTTTTCTTCAGCAGGATGACTCTCAATTTTCTAAAGGCATTGTTCAGACCATACTTCTGTCTCCATGGTTTTGTATGTCCTCAAACTCATACCATTTTATATATCTCCTTTCCTGACTTGGCAGGAGTTCATTATCAGACAATGTTTATTATGCTTAAGCACATTTAGGCAGCAGTGGAAGAAGGAAAGTCTGGGGAAGTGGTTCAAGAAAGACAAAAGAATATAGTGTGAATTCAGTAACTTTTTAATTACTCAGTTCTGGTCACTATCTCCAAGATAAACAGATGTTTATCAACAGTTCATTCTGCATGACACCGCTATGGTGATTTTTTTTTTTTCATAGCATGGAAAAAATGCAGGAGGTAGGAAAACAAAATAGAAAGTTATGATGGAAATTACTTTTATCTTTAAAATTACTGTAACATAGGAAGCTGAATGACAATATGGTAATTAAAATGAGAATATCATTTTGGGGAGAGGTCACTAAAGTTTGGAGAAGCAAGTATATTTTTATACATGACAGTAATGAAAAGTTTTTACTTTATCTCTCCTGTATATTAAGTTTTATTTCAGGTTAATCTGTGTCATGAAACATTCTGTAAAATATTTAGCAAGTCCACACAAGGTCTCTGTTGTACACCAAGATTATGTCCTAGAAATGTGACCACAGCATGTATATTGTTCCCTCTCATCTTCCTTCCTTCTGCTTTGTTTTAATGTTTCCATCTAACAGCAAAAAGGGGCAGGGAGGCTGCCAACAGCCTGCATATTAGAACAGTTCTTTAAAGGAAGGAAATGGAGGAAATTTCTCAGACAAAAATCAGGATAATCATTTGAAACCTATGATATTTTTACACTAGCTGTTAGATCCAGAAAGCAACTGTTTTACTTTTAGTCACTTGATTTATTTATAATTACAACTTCCTGATCTCAAGATTTTATTCTTTATATAATCTGGTTACTTATACTGATATTTGTTTATGTTGCGCAGTGTGTGTGTTTGTGTTTATAATCACATGTGCTTTTTAAGATGGTGTTTAAAAGAAGTAACCCTTCCACAGCATGTCCTCCTCACATTCTTCCACCAGAGAAGAGGCCCCCTGAGCCCCCTGGACCTCCACCGCCGCCACCTCCACCCCCTCTGGTTGAAGGCGATCTTTCCAGCGCCCCCCAGGAGCTGAACCCAGCCGTGACAGCCGCCTTGCTGCAACTTTTATCCCAGCCTGAAGCAGAGCCTCCTGGCCACCTGCCACATGAGCACCAGGCCTTGAGACCAATGGAATTCTCCACCCAACCCCATCCAAACAGGACTTATGGAAACACTGATGGGCCTGAAACAGGGTTCAGTGCCATTGACACTGATGAACGAAACTCTGGTCCAGCCTTGACAGAATCCTTGGTCCAGACCCTGGTGAAGAACAGGACCTTCTCAGGCTCTGTGAGCCACCTTGGGGAGTCCAGCAGTTACCAGGGCACAGGGTCAGTGCAGTTTCCAGGGGACCAGGACCTCCGTTTTGCCAGGGTCCCCTTAGCATTACACCCGGTGGTCGGGCAACCATTCCTGAAGGCTGAGGGAAGCAGCAATTCTGTGGTACATGCAGAGACCAAATTGCAAAACTATGGGGAGCTGGGGCCAGGAACCACTGGGGCCAGCAGCTCAGGAGCAGGCCTTCACTGGGGGGGCCCAACTCAGTCTTCTGCTTATGGAAAACTCTATCGGGGGCCTACAAGAGTCCCATCAAGAGGGGGAAGAGGGAGAGGAGTTCCTTACTAACCCAGAGACTTCAGTGTCCTGAAAGATTACTTCCCTTTCCATCCTTCCATCCAGTTCTCTGAATCTTTAATGAAATCATTTGCCAGAGCGAGGTAATCATCTGCATTTGGCTACTGCAAAGCTGTCCGTTGTATTCCTTGCTCACTTGCTACTAGCAGGCGACTTACGAAATAATGATGTTGGCACCAGTCCCCCTGGATGGGCTATAGCCAGAACATTTACTTCAACTCTACCTTAGTAGATACAAGTAGAGAATATGGAGAGGATGATTACATTAAAAAGTAAATGTTTTATTAGTTCATTGCCTGCACTTATTGATCAGAAGATAGAACAGTTTCAGTTTTGAGATGGCTCAGGAGAGGCTCTTTGGTTTTTAAAGTTTTGGGGTTGGGGGTTCTGTGTGGTTTCTTTCTTTTGAATTTTAATTTAGGTGTTTTGGGTTTTTTTTCATTTAAAGAGAATAGTGTTCACAAAATTTGAGCTGCTTTTAGGCTTTTGCTATAAGGGAAACAGTGGCCTGGCTGATTTAAATAAATGTTTCCTTCCTCTCCACCATCTCACATTTTGCTTTTAAGTGAACACTTTTTGCCCGTTGAGCATCTTGAACATACTTTTTTTCCAAATAAATTACTCATCCTTAAAGTTTACTCCACTTTTACAAAAGATAGGCCCTTCTCCCTGCACATAAAGCAGGTTATAGAAAGTGGCATTCTTGGGCAAGTAGGTAGACTTTACCCAATCTCTTTCCCTTTCTGCCCATGTGTGCACGTGTTCTCCCTCTCCCTCCCCCCCCTTTGCTCTCTCTGTCTCTCCCTCCCTCTTTCTCTCTCTCTCTCTATCTTTCTCTTCTCTTTTACTCACCCACTCTTGCTTTCTCTCTCTCTCTCTCTGAGGCATTTGTTTGGAAAAAATTAATAGTTGAGATGCCCAAGAACCTGGGATAAATCTTTATTATTATTATTATTTTTTTTTTGAAATAAAGGAAAGGAAATTCAAACTTCTACATTGTTCTCTGTAACTCTTCAATTCTAAAATGTTTTGTTTTTTAAACCATGTTCTGATGGGGAAGTTGATTTGTAAATGTGGACAGCTTGGACATTGCTGCTGAGCTGTGGTTAGAGATGATGCCTCCATACCTAGAGGGCTAATAACAGCATTTAGCATATTGTTTACACATATATTTTTATGTCAAAAAAAAAAAAAACCTTTCAAATGGAGCATCGTGATACTGTCAAAGAGAAAAATCCTGAAGATACATGGAAATGTAACCTAGTTTAGGGTGGGTATTTTTCTGAAGATATATCAATACCTGACCTTTTTAAAACAAATAATTTTAAAACAGCATACTGTGAGGAAGAACAGTATTGACATATTCGTATCCCAGCATGTGTATCCTACCAGTTCTTTTAGGGATTTTTCTCCAAAGATATTTGGATTTGATTTGGTAAAAGGGGTTAAATTGTGCTTCCTGGCAAGAACTTTGCCTTATCATAAACAGGAAATGAAAAAGGGAAAGGCTGTCAGGGTGGGATAATTTGGGAGGCTTCTCATTCTGGCTTCTATTTCTGTGTGAGTACCAGCATATAGAGTGTTTTAAAAACAGGTACATGTCATATACTTTATCTGCACAGACTTAGACCTTTAGGAAACAGGTTAGCCCCTTTTTACAAAGAAAAAGCAAACATGCTTCAGTATCTTGAAGGATAGTTTTCAAAACTCATTTCATGTTTCAATGCCAAGTTCTTATTTTTAAAAGTAAAATCTACTTATAAGAGAAAGGTGCATACTTAAAAAACAGAACTTTAAAGAAATGAAAGAAGAACCCTTTTCAGATACTTACTTGAAGACTGTTAATGAAATAGGTAGATAACAGTGTGTGTATTTCTTTATTATTCTCTGTTTTTTTTTTTAAATCTGGCCTTGCCTTCAGGGCCAAACACTGATTAGAAAGAGAACCTTCTAGCCATTTTGGCATTGATGGCTTTTTATACCAATGTGTCCAGTTAGATTTACTAGGCTTACTGACATGCTATTGGTAAATTGCATTAAAGTTTATCTGAACCTCCTGTCTGTTGACTTCTTAGTCCTCAGACATGGGCCTTTGTATTTTAGAATATTTGAATTTGAATTATTGGGCCCCACTCCCTGTTTTTTATTAAAGAACTTGAGCCTGGGATACTATCAGAAGTATCTTATTCAGTGAAAAAAGTTGGTTTCCCATCATATATGAATAAAATTCTCTATATATTTTCATTGTATTTTGGTTATCAGCAGTCATCAATAATGTTTTTTCCTCCCCCTCCCACCTCTTATTTTTAATTATGCCAAATATCCTAAATAATATACTTACGCCTCCATTCCCTCATCCCTACTAGGGAAGAGGGGGTGAGTGTATGTGTGAGTGTATGTGTATGTATGATCTCATCTCACCCCACCCCCATTTTGGGAGTCTTTTAAAATGAAAAAAAAGTTTGATAATTTTGACTACTTCTAAAAGCAGAGGAAAAAAACTTATTTAAATATCCTGAAATCTGTATGGAGGAAGAAAAGGTATTTGTTAACTTTTCAGTTATGTTATCTATAAACATGATGGAAGTAAAGGTTTGGCAGAATTTCAGCTTGACTATTTTAAAATTACAAACCCAATTAATTCCATCCAAAAGTGGTTTTGTTTTTGGTTTGATTATTGTTCGATGAGAGATACTAAGTCTATTAAATACATTATTTTGAACAGATGAGAAATCTGATTCTGTTCATGAGTGGGAGGCGAAACTGGTTTGACCGTGATCATTTTTGTGGTTTTGAAAACAAGTATACTTGACCCAGTTTCCTTAGTTTTTTTCTTCAGCTGTCATAGGAACAATAGTATTTGAAAGCAACATCAAATCTATACGTTTAAAGCAGGGCAGTTAGCACAAATTTGCAAGTAAAACTTCTGTTAATTTATGCCATAGACATCACCCAACCACTTGTATGTGTGTGTGTGTATATATAATACGCATATATAGTTACCGTGCTAAAATGGTTACCAGCAGGTTTTGAGAGAGAATGCTGCATCAGAAAAGTGTCAGTTGCCACCTCATTCTCCCTGATTTAGGTTCCTGACACTGTATTCCTTTCTCTCTCTTGTTTTTGACCCCATTGGGTGTATCTTGTCTATGTACAGATATTTTGTAATATATTAAATTTTTTTCTTTCAGTTTATAAAAATGGAAAGTGGAGATTGGAAAATTAAATATTTCCTGTTACGATACCACTTTTGCTCCATTGCATTTACTTCTTAATCTGTACCCACTGAGCATATCTCATTATGTATAAAGGACATTTTTCTCCATTTTATCTTAAGGGTTCTCTGTCTAGAATCATTATAGACTCATATACTCCCCCTCCCCACAAAAAGTTATTAGGATTTGAAGAAGTGCCTCAAAACACTAGACTAGGAACTAGAGAATAAAAAATGAGTGGGAAAAACCATAAAATGTGATTTTTTTAAATAGAAAAGTTAAACAAATAATGGTACCAAACCATCAAGAGTTGAGCTTCATGTACCCTGACTCCTCCTGACAGGAGAGGTAAGTGGGTTTGAGCTCAACTGTCATCAAGGGAAGTTGGTAAGAGGCTGTTGAGACCCAAAGGATAGTCTTAAACCAGACTCTTCACCACTCCACCCCACCCTACCCCCATTCGCACATTGTTACAGTGCAGTCAGCATGGGGATTAGTGTACCTACCTCTGTTGAGATTTCCTGATGCGTTGCCAATCCAGAAAGTGAACCAAAAAGTTGCTTAAAAGTTAAAATCCCTATTGTTCCTCAAATCTTTCCCATCTCCACCTGAAGACAGAATAGCTTCCCCTTCCATTTTATGGCTTAGAACACAGGATAAATTTGCCCTTGTATGTGTTGCAATCGTGCTAGTTAGGACTAATAGGTAGAGAGCAAATAAAGTCCACTAAGAGAAAGAGGGGAGATAGGTATCTGGAAGTTGTAAATGGGGTAAGCAAGTTGCATATAAGCAAGAAGGTTAAGGGATACACCAGAGCAAGGGAAATTAGGAGGAAGTTGAATTCAAAAACTGGTGCTGATGAGAGTTGCTAACCTGCTTAGGAATCCTCAAAAGCTTAAGTGGTGTTCCCTTCCCTGTGGGCCAAGTCACATCTTAGGTGAATGGAGAGCTCAAGATTGTTCCAATTTCCTGGTTGGCCTCCAGAGAAAGTTAGTTTTAGGTCTTTTTCTATTGCAAGTTCATGATTGGGGTGTAAACTTCAGCCTACTAGAAAATACTATTTTCACTTCATAGCAGTGAAAATTGAAGCAGTGTCTTTTTAATTCTGGGCCTAAAGGCTGAGGACCTTACTAACCTAGATTTTTCTCTGTCATACCAAAGGCCATTTCTAACCAGAAACCATATTGTTTGGTACCTAAATTTCTTAGGCACTGTCCTTTCCTAGACAGGCATCCTTAACTGTACAGTTATGGTTAATGCCTCAAAAAAGTAAACAGTTTATGCTCTTGGTGCTAATGTTGGGATTTCTGTCGTTATTAAAGATTACCTCATAGCTTGATTGTTTTTTAAACTATGGAGTGACTTTTCATATCCTAATCATTCAGAGGGCTAAGTGGAATGGGAATGGGGAGTTCCTCAATGGAGGAAGCACTCAACCATTCCAAGGGAGAGGTGGAACTGCTGAGTCTTCTGGTTGTCCTGAGAGGCAAGGTGAGCATTCCTGGACACTTGGGTTAATTTTACAGTCCAGGTGTGACAGCTCTCGTCTGTAGGAACACCTCCAGTGTTCCTAACCTTGGGAATACTCTCAAGTAGGAGGTTACTGCAAGTCAGAGTTGAGAGACTTTGGGGGGGAGTACAACATCTGAAGGAATAACTGGTGGTACTCCTCACTGTACGCAACTGTCTCTCCATCTCCTATCCACCCACTTCTTTTCCTATTTCTCTTTCTCCCTACTCACCATTCAGCAGGAATAATTTAGGCTTACCATCAGTATTGATTGCTTAACCCTACCAGGTATTTAGAGTTACTGCTGTTTCATAGTTTTGAAAGGTAATGAGAGTCAGTTCCTAAGACAAATGTCTATCTGGATCCTCAACCTACTGCAGTGGAAAGTGAAGGAGAAAGCAAAATAATCATACTTTTGTATTGCTAGGAGGCATTAAAGGAGGTTTTCATTCATGTTATATAGGGCACAAAATATCCTTTTACTGGCCAGGAAAGGCGGAGAGTCATCTTTCTGTCCTCCTGCTTCCCCACTTTTAACCTTCACCTTTTTATTCTCTTCCATATCCTGAGATTGTTGCTTTTGCCGTTGACATTTTTAAGCTCATTTGCAGATGGTGTCTGTGGGAAGTAAAGCTTGGTGAGAAGAGGGCTCTGTGATATCTGAGAGAAAGCACATAAGACTTGCTTTAATATCCTGGTGATTAATCACTGGGGTGCCAAAACACTTTGACCACTGGATTTCTCTCATTATCTCTTATCTCAAAAATTAGTACTCCAAGGCTGAGAGAAAGAGACTGATTCTGAGTTTGTCTTTCGTACCCTCGAAATGGGTAGTTTGTTAGTGAAGCGTTCTCAATTTGCAGCCTTCAGCTGCAGCATACTTCTCTGAACTAAGAAGGTATAGTCATGAAGGAAATTCAGTTAGACCCAGGTTCCCTAGGACCTGTAGACGGATGCACTTTTTGATATCTTGCTCTGGCATGGTTGTAAACTACAGATCGTATTGATAGCTCTAAAGGAATGAAGGGCATTTTATTCAGGCCAAACCAACCGTGAGGGAGGCAGTATGAAGAAACCTTTAAAAAGTCCATGATACAGCAGTCAGAGCTAAGTAAAGAACAAAGCTTGAGTCATGGAGGGTGTCTTTACCTAAGGGGCCTGTCTGATGGGCTGTCTCTAGGAGTGGATACTTCTCCTTCCTGAGTCTCAGAACTACAATAGTGCCTATGGAGGGACACCCTTGGTGAGGATCAGCTCGTTAGATGACCCTCCTCACCAAGGCTAATGCAATTTTGAATGTATTCTTCCCTGGAGAAAACAGGCTGAATTCAAAGACCTAGAGAAAGCTTAGTAGCCTCATCCCTTTAAAAAATTTTGGAACTCTTAGTTTGGCCTTGTACTAGTATTAATATTTGTAATTTCTGTTAGGGGACCAAAAGTCTCAGAAAATGAAGCAATATAAGAGGTAGAAATAAGGGTAAGAAGGGAGAACTGGAACAGTCTGGTAGCTGGGCTGCAGAAAGACTTGGGGTATAATTGCTTATAAAGAGAGGGGTATGGGATGGAAGGGAAAATTATGGTTGAGCTAGTGAAATTTATAGGTGAATTTTCTTAGAGATTCACAGTTCATTTCAGGAAGACCCCATTAAAGCTCCACTATTGAGTAAATAATTCCCCTTGATTACAGTAGTCTTGCCTTTAGGGTTGGAGGATGGGGCAAGAACCCCTAAGATCCTAGGAAGACATTTTCTCCAGGGAAACTGGAAAAGATGAGCAAATACGTTAAGTAAATAACTTACATAAGGTTTACTTAACACTGCTATCTACATAGTTCAAGAGAGTAATTCAGGAATAAGGAGGGAATGACATCGATGCATCACATTAAACAGTTATTTGTATTGTTTGAATTTCAAAACGACTGCTAGTGATTTTACGTATGTCAAGTCAACCTAGAGACTAGTTATTACTCCTCTGCCACTAATTTTAGATCCAAATGATGGCAGTGCATAGAAGAACAAACCAGAATATGTGAATTAGAGTCACAGAATGTTAGAGCTACAAAAGAACATGAGTTTGTTTAGTTCAGTGACATCTTTAACCAGTAAAAAGGCCCAGAAAGGTTGAGAAACCTATATGGTATTGGGAGAAGGAGGGGAGAGAAAGGGAACTAACATTTTTGGATACCTGCTATGTGTCAGGCACTGTGCTAAGTGCTTTGCTTTTATCTTGATTGATTAGCACCTTAAAGCTAAGGGATAGAATTAATAAAAGGTTGTAATCCCAGCACTTTGGGAGGCCAAGGCAGGCGGATCACCTGAGGTCAGGGGATCGAGACCATCCTGGCTAACATGGTGAAACCCTGTCTCTACTAAAAATACAAAAAATTAGCTGGGTGTGGTGGCACGCGCCTGTAGTCCCAGCTACTCAAGAGGCTAAGGTGGGAGAATCGCTTGAACCCGGGAGGTAGAGGTTGCAGTGAGCCAAGATTGCCTGGGTGACAGAGCGAGACTCCGTCTCAAAAAATAAAAAATAAAATAAAGCAAACCCCTTTCATTATCCTGAGCAGTAAGTAGGAGATAAAGGGGAGTGGTAGACCATGTTTTCCTCTCTAACCGCACAGGGCTAAACTACAGGAAGTAAAGAGTCAGCATTTGAGAGTGAGGTTAATCTAAGGAATTACTTGCCAAACTGTTGAAAGAGACTCACAACTTCTCCATTCCTAGAGACCTTCTAAAGCGTGTTGATTAGAGACAGGACTGATAGGGACCAAGATTACTCTTGGCTCTGGAATTGATTTTCATTTTGGAAAATTAAGTCATGACCTGAGAATGTGGGGATTAATCATACAAATAGGAAACAAAATGGAGCTTCTCATCCTAAGATGTCTTCAAAGAGAAGAGTAGTTACATACCATGAATGAAGGAGGTAAATTCCTTAGGTGACTGTGCTTGTTTTTTGTTTTGTAACACTTTGAAGTCATGAAACAGAATTTGTAATCTTGGGAAGATTCAGTGCCAAGTTCAAGGCAAGTGGCTGTTTGAAAATTGACAGAATAAAATTGTGTTCCTCGTGGTTGTTTGATATGATATCCCAACAGTTATACCATGAGGGCTGCTTCACTGGGGAGCACTAATAGCAGCAGCAGAAGCATGTCCTGAGTACAGACAGGACAACCTCTGAGGAAGAAGATTGGGTGAGGGTCCCACCTTCAGAAAGCTTCTGGATCTTGTGAGAAAGGTCAGTCTTAGAGCTGGTGCAGAGTGGGGAATCTGTATTTGTAAGTCAGCATATCAATGTGGGTTATAAAATAAAACAGTATCATAAGAGGAAACCAAAACAAAGAAATAATCAGAAAAAGTGGAGTTATTCAGAAACAATTATTTGAAAATAAAGAAGATAGGGGACACAGAACGGAAGAGGAAGGTGAGCAGTGAGCGGAATCTCCTGGAAGAGGGCTCCTGTGTGTTTTGTGCAGAGGCAGTGAATTGGCTGAGTAGAATGGTACAGGAAAGGAGTATT